TCAAACAGGCTAAATCAAATAACCATCCTCATACCTCCCAGGTGTCTAAGAAACTACTGTCATCACCGATGGTCAAACCTTCACTGTCCAGTGGGAACTGCTCTGATCCAGACTACAAGGCATTTGTGAGAAGGTTTACAGTGAGATCTGATCTTGCATAAACACTGAATGCAATGCACAAATGAAAACAGAAGAAAAAAATTGCTTAAAAAAAACAATCACCTTAAATCCCATTGGCCAGTGAATCAGGTAAAGATCCAGGTAGTCCAGATTCAGGTCGCTTAAAGTCTTCTGACAAGCTCCTTTCACCAAGGCCTTTTCATGGAAGGTGCACCAGAGCTGTGAAAGAAAAAAAAAACACATGCAATAAATCAGCTTTCCTTAATCGCGAAAAATAAATAAATCACAGCTCGTCCGTCAATTTTCGATCAAGTACCTTGCTGACCACGAAGAGTTCTTCTCTTTTTACCACACCATCTTTTATCATGGCTTTTATTCCCTCTCCGACCTCAGTCTCGTTGTTGTAAACTGCGGCGCCATCGATGTGTCTGTAACCTGCAGCGATGGCTGCCTTCACAGCTTCTGTCACTTTACCTGGAGGAGACTGCAGGAAAAAGAACATTCGAGTACATTTATACAGTTCTCAGCATAATTGAGTTGGAGGTGGTCATTCTGAAAATGAATATTTTAATCATTTCTCAGTGAATATGGCAATGTATTTTAGTGCATATAAACAAAACAGATTTATTAAACATTATTTATTAAAATAATATTTTAGTCACTGAACATATTTAGAAATGAAAAGATAATACAATTAAATTCAAGCAAAATATATATATTTTTAAATTACAACCTACAAAATTTCAACTAAATTAAACATTTTTTGCTTCTCTTGATTTTTTCTCTTTTTAAAATTTGCTTTTAGTATTTTTCCACAACATGTAAATTTGTCTGTACTAGTTTTTGGACCGTTATTTTGTTAGATATGCTCCAGATTTGGCTTCAGTGCTGATTAATGTAATGTATATGCACTGATCTAATATTGTATAGCTTCCTAGTAAAAATATAAGTTTGAGAAATAGATTTGTGAGGGGTGTTTTTATATATGCTGAGCACTGTATATACATTTATATTGTTTGTTTGTTTTTGTTAATATTTATATAATGATGAGCTTAAATACTATTACACTACCCCAAAAAAACATAAATACTGTTTATTTAACTTTTAATTTAGTTCTGTCGTATTTATATATTGTTTGTAATTTATTATATTTTATGCATGTGCGCTGCAAAGAAAAAGACTTGATTGTTTAAATGAATGAATCTTCAGAAAAAATAGAGCTATTTAAATCATCTGGTGAAATAATATTCATAACTCACTATATAATCGCAGCAAAACAAAATATCATGCAGCCCTATATTTGAGTAGATACAACCAAGAAAGAGAGGAAAATAAAATGAACAATTAAATAAAGGGAGGGGAAGAATCGAGTGGACAGGAGAAAGAACAAGAAAAGCAAAATAGGAAACTGAACATATTGTAAAAAGGACAAAGAGAAAGGAAAGAAAAGATAAAAGGAAAAGTAATGGAAATGGACAGGAAATGTAAGAGGAAAGAAAAAGTCAGGCAGAAAATGTCAATAGAATGGAATAGGAAAGCAAACAAAGGGAAATGAAGAGAAATAACAGGTGGACAAGGAAACAAAGGGAAAAGAAAAAAAGCAGGAAAACTAAAAAGTGAAACTTTTTTAAATCTAAAGAATTTAAATCTAAAGAATAATAGGAAAAAAAGAAATTAAAGGAAACAGTAAAAAGGAAAGGAAAAATGAGGAGAGAAATTATGAAAATGACAATAAGAGAAGGGCAGATGAAACCAATGGAAATGGAAAAACAACTAGACCGAAAAGAGAAGAGACATAAGATAGTAAGGAAGGGAATGACAGTCAGAAACAATTTCACAAATTAAAGTAGGGTTGCAGTTGGTAAAGAAAAATATGAAATGGAAAAATCAAGGGGGGGGGGGGGTGGGGGGGTATAAAAGTTATGCAAAAGACAAAAAAAAGGTTACAAAAAAGTAGAGAAAGGTGAAAGTAAAAAAAAATCCAAGAAATGAGAAGTGAATTAAAAGCAAAGACAAACCACTAAAGCCAAAAGTGATGACTGTGTGTTTCCATTGTTTTCAAATGTTATTCTACAAGTTGACAGCTACTTGCTTTGTATTATTGTTATTATTATACATTATACACTAGCCCTAAACATCACATATTATTTATCAAAACTTAATGAATGTCATCAATCATAAGCCACGCTTAACATACTCATCATGACTAAATGACTTCTTTGAGACATAACATTGATATTTTACAGATTGCACAACATCGTTTCCAACTGTTAGACAACTTTTCAGAACTGCCCATGCAACTCTCCGAACGACGCCCATATGACGCTTGATCTCCTGATTTTCTGCGAATTCAATTCAACATTATGCCACTTCATATTTTACTTCTGCATGCGTTTTTAAAAACGTCTGTCCGCGAATTCCCCATGCAACGTGTTCGGCTATATTCATGCACTTATATAATGTAATACGATCACTCAGAAATGAAACCAGAGCATACCTTCCACGTGCCCAGTCCGAGGATGGGCATATCAGCCCCGGTATTGAGCTTCACAGACTTTGACATTGTGAAAGACAGATTTAACACGGATGATTTTAACACAACACTTCCAGGCTCTGTGCAAAAGCTGAGGGGAAGGAGTTTACGCAGGTGCAAGTAGATCGATTACTCTTGCCTGAGCGTAAAGGGAGGGACGTATGGTGACGTCACTTGACGTTTACCAATAAAACCACGTTGTGAGAAAAATCTTTATTTGCATCTTCATGTGCAGAAATCTATTATCTACTGTCCAAACCTTTCGTATAAAGGGCCAATAGCCAAATATCATTAAGACCTGTGGACCGAAGGTAAATATACCAAGCTATATTACATTAAAGCTACCATGGGTAATTTCCTAATTTATTTCATAAGATATAAATGAAAGAAGTAAATAAAAAAATAATTTAAATCATATTAACTAATGTAGTATAACATTTTAAATGATCACTTATTCCAATAATAACATAAACATTTAAGTTTATAACACAGTGGAGTTCAATGATGAATACACTAGTCAAGCAGAATCTGCCTTTGCATTGATCTGTTGGGTGACAGTATGTACATTTAAACTACATCTGATTAATTTACACCATTTAATTGAAACAATTAATTTCAGTTAGCTTTTAACAATAAAACAAACAAACAAACGGTTACATTTGAAATAACAAACCTCCAGTCCAAACTATGGCCATTATTCTTCCTCTGTTCTTCTCAGATGGGAATTGCGGGCCAAATCAAAGGTTACTGTGGGACAACTTTGGCCCTTGTTTGGGCAACCATTATCTAAACTAAAATAGTTTTTAAACATTTAATATTGGTTATATACATTGCATAACATTTATAACAATATTTATTTGTTTGCAATATAAACGCAGTGCATTAAACACCTTTAAAATATGTTGTTTTTTTTTTGGTATTGAGTTTTAGTTTATTTAAAATGACAAATATAGTTGTTTGTTTAATAATATATTATTTATAATGCATATTATTTGCATTATAAATGACAAGATGTTTGAATGCAAATACTAATTAATTAACAGCAATGGTCTTAAAGTCAGTTCCTGGAGGGCTGCAGCTCTGCATAGTTTAGCTCAAACCACCTCCAACTCACACCTGATTAGTTGGATCAGCTGGGTTTGATTAGGCTTGGAGCAAAACTGTGCAGAACTGTGGCCCTCCAGGAATCCAGGTTGCGACCTATGATTTACAGTATAAATACACAAATGTAAATGCATTAAACAAAACAACCTATTTATTTAAGTTTGTTTATATATTAGAAAATTATTTTAGTGCTTATTTAGTGAATTTTAAGCTCACAATAATAATAATCCTTAAATGTACAATAAATTATTTTTGTAAAAAAAAAAAACATCAGCATCATAAAGAACAAAATGTTTGCATGTAAAATGCAATATCCATTTATTTACATTTTAAATACATAACACATAATAGACATCGATGTCTAACACAGAAAACACAACAACCATAAAATAAAAGGGGCACTTTAAAAAGGCAAAGTCTTTTGTTTGCAATGTTTTGACCAGTAATTTAAAGGTGCAGTAGGTGATCTTTCACAAAGCTAACAGCTTAGCATTAATCTCTGAATCACAGTCCCTCCCCTGCCGTCTAGAGCCACACCTCCTTAAATACGAGCACAGCAAAAGAACCTTCACTCATGTGTTAAAAACGACTAGTGCCGAGCAAGCCAAACTGACATGCTATTTTAGAGTGAATATTTAGAGTTGCATGGTTAACAATACAGGGAAACTAGGCTGAATAGCGGTATTTACTTGTCTTTTGTTGTTAAACTAATAAAAATCTACATTATAGATGCTGTAAAAGGTCCCTTATGAAACTGAAAATAGTCTTATCAATCTTTTATCGGAAGATTTTAGTGGCTTCTGTGAAGATATAACCCGTCTGTAACAACATCTAACGTTACATCAGCTTTTCATGAAGCTAAAATAGTTTTAAAACAAAACATTACCCGTCTAAGAGAAATCCTTCAGCCATCGTTTCATCCTTTCTCCAACGTGCAAAGGTAACTCCAATATTGATTCAGGTTTTTAAAAAGTTTGGATTAAGCAGGTTTTCACCGATCGTGCGGCACCGACAGCGGTCGGCGGAGATGCGTACAAACGGCTGCGCAGTTGACAGTTTCGCCTACTTATCGGAATTATGAGAGATGTCGGTCCGACTCTATTTAATTGGATGAACATTTTTTTGTTTCATGCCTTACCCAAAATATAAAAATACATATAAATACATTTAGATCATTTACTTGAATCATAACTATTTGACTGTGAAGAGACTTTCAACCAGCACAACAAAAAATGCTTCTGAAGACAATTACCTACTGCACCTTTAACATTGAAACTTTGTAATGTATTTTTTAACTCAATTAAAATCTACAGATTTCTGTTGGTGAATGATATATAAAGTTTGGCAAAAGGACTTAAAGGCGTCTAATGGGCAGAACAAAAAGGAATAATAAATAGGCTTGGATTCATCCTGTTACGCACTGTATAAGTTACATATTTTTTTCAGAAGCATAACCACCCATTCCGATTGCACACTCCTCCTGATTGGCTGGATGGATCTCAGCTTCTCTCTCTTCGTCCTCTTCTTCTTCCTCCTCTTCATCTTCCTCCTCTTCTTCCTCACCCTGTGTGGCCCCCCGGCCGATCTTTGGGCCCTTGCAGATTTTGAGGTGGCGTGTGAGGTGGTATTTAGTGAGGAAACCCTTGTTGCACTTTTCACAGATGAAGTCCCGCTTCCCTTCATGAGAGTTTAAGTGTTTTTTAAGATGGTCAGGCTTTAGGAACTGCTTGTCACACTTTGGACAGTTTATCTGCCGGTCTCTGGAACGGAGAAAATAGAAATATAGAGTTGTTTAGATGAATATATTGTAAGTAGACCAAGAATATATGTTAATAATACTCATAATCAGTAATCACAGTAGGAAATATTCTGTTTAATTTTGTATGCATAAGTAAAATGTGGTGGATCTTTATATACGTGTAGATATTTTAACTTGTGAGTTTATTCTCCACCCCCAAAAAATACGTATTTAATAATAAATGCGTAATTTTTTAAACATACAAATATATATTTTTGTATTTTAATATAATTTAATATACTATATATATATATATATATATATATATATATATATATATATATATAAAATAAGACAATAAAATATTTATTGTCAAATTTTTGTTGTTATAAATGTTGTAATTAAATTTGACATTAAATATTTAAAAAAATAAAATAAATATATCCTTACAGTGAATGTGAGTACATGTGCTGTTTGAGATCTTGTTTTCGCACAAACATCTTGTCACAATGGTCACATTTAAGGTTTTTGGCACCGATGTGTATAACCATATGAGATTCCACATGTGCCTTCTGAGTAAAAGACTTCCCACACACTGTACACCTGAAGTTCTTCTGACCTGCAGAAGAAAAAAGGTAACACTTCAGTTTAGATCACAATTCACAGTATTAACCACTGGCTTAAATATTAGGATATTACCTGTTCATTAGTAGTTATAAAGTATGATCTTATTCTTCATCTATAATCCTACCCAAAACCTAAACCCAAGTTCTACCTTACAATCTATTAAAAAACAGCTAAATACTAGTTTATTAAGCTTGTAGGGTGCGTTAATAGTTTGTTAACACTGTGAATTGTGAAACATGTGTTTCATGAGTTGAGCAGTGATGAGAGTAGAAATGTCACATAAAAGCAAAGTAAAGTAGTGTCTATAACAGGGGTGCCAAATCAGTTTGCCCTAGTTTGGGCATTTCTGGTCTAAAAGTACAGTGCACATTTCATCACTAACCAACTGCACTTCAAAAAGCGCCTCTTACTGGCAAAGAGTTTTCACTTTTTCATTCAACTCTCCTTGTTTTGTAGTGTAAAAATATTTTATGTATTATAAAATTAACAAAGCTCAGGCTACTGTGTTTAAAATTCACTTTGCCTCTCATTTTAAATGGCTAGTGACAGATCTGCCTATAATTAAGCAAATTGACAGATTGCTTGTGTACTCACTCATACATCAAAATCAAGCTAAATGCTTGTTGAAAATTGCTGCACTTTACTGTATGTGGATTTAAAATGCACATATGAAAGTACTGTGCTCTACTGCATAACTACCTGACTTAAGGTTAGATTTAAAGGTAGGTTTAAGGGTAGTACCCTGTTATTAACTAGTTTATGTATGCATGTTATCAGTAAATAGTGCATGCTTGCTAAACAAGATTGTAAAATATAGTGTTACCAAAAAGTAAATAAACAATCTTGGCCATAATTGTTTTTCCACATTTACCTGTATGAATTCTCAGGTGTTTTCTGAGGTTGCTGGGATCACTGAAGGCTTTGCTGCAGTAGCTGCATTTGTGTGGCCTCATGCCCATGTGACCCATGAAATGCACGTTTAGTTTAGTGGAGGTAGTGAACGCTCGTGTGCACATGCTGCATTTGAACTTCCTCTCGCGGCCGTGCCCATTACCGCTGCTGCTGCTGGAATGCTCATTCACATCTGAATGGCACTGCCACTGTGGGGACGAGGTGGAGCGGAGCGGCTCATTGGTCACCTTGTCCTGCGAATGCGACTGGCTGTGGCCGGGGTGAGCGGGATGGTCCTGGGTAGGACTGTGGCTCTGAGCGTGACTGCCGAGGTGAGATTTGAACTCTGTGAAGGAGGCACATTCTTTTCCACAATGACAGATCTGGCCCTCTGGAACTCTGGGAACACCTGAACACAAAAAATTACAGAAAATGAACAACTGGATGAATGAAACATAACTGTGTAATGCATATTTTATGTATTGATCTCTTTACTTTCTTATAAACAATCTATCTTTCTGGGAAAACATTGTGCAGTGTGCTCCACACAGGTGAGTGGGCTGGACAGACCACTTGTAGGAGACACATTTTTCCCCAACACCTTCTTATAAACACTCTATATATTATCTTCTTATTAACATTTATTTAATGTATAAGTGTGTGCATATACTTAAATATTTTTGTAATTGTGTACTGTTGTGTACTGTCACTGGTGATGGGCCGAAGACAAATTTCCCTTCCATGGAACAATAAAGTTTACCTAACCTTATAAATAATTTGTCATGTCATAATTTGACTCGTCATGGCATCCATCCATCCATCCATCTTATCTATCACTATCACTCTATCATCTATCACTTAAACATAAGGATTGTTTTTCTTTCATTAAGAAACGGTCTCATCTTGTATAAAGTCTCATCGCTGTAAAAATGCGAAGACTTTAACAAAGAAAACAAATAAAAAACATGCAATCATACTTTCTTTATTACTAGTTACAGCACCAAATAAACATGAATGACCACCTTGTGTCTTATACAATCACTAAATATGCGTTTCAACCATAAAAAATGCCAATAAAATAGCTTGTAAACAAAATGTCACATGTTATTACATTCACCTTAGGCAAGTCATCCAATTCACAAAGCTATCCTCTTACCCACCTAGCTGTCTGCTGTAGTCCCTGCTGAAATAAAACAGTAGCTCCTGATCGGGCAGAATCTCTCTGGTTGTGCAGAAATACAGCTTTCCATTGTCAATATACGCCACCAGATTCTGCTCCCCTGTAGTTCTGCAAACAGTGTTGGGTTTTAGTTTTGTACGTCATAAAATGCAGGGTTTTCAATATATAGATCTTGCTGATTTCACTGGACATGGAATACATAGTAAAAACAGAGAATTGAATTAAAAGTCAGGCAGTCACCTTGCTTTCCTCACAAACATCATCCAGTTGCATTCATGCTCATCTGTCGTCACAATACAGAATTCTTGGATGTCGTTGTGAAACATCTACATTAGATTACAAATAAACCACAAACAAACCAAAGTCATTCTGAAAATTACCCATACGAGAGGTCAGTGCGATAGTGAATAAAACATGCAAATGACGGCATTTAGAATACACTACCATGTAAACGTTTAAGGTTGGTTTTTGAAGTCTCAAATAATTACTAAGGCTGCAGTAGAAAAGTGTCATACTGTGAAATTTAATACAATTTAAAAGAACTGTTTTTGATGTAAATATATCTTAAAAGGTCATCTATTCCTATGATGTAAGACATATTTAAAGGATAGTTCACCAAAAACTGAAAATTCTGTGATCGTGGACGTCCAGAATTCAGTGTTCTCCAATCTCCAGTGCCTAGACTGCAGCACTGCACAGAAAGTTTGTCCAGAGGAGAAATGGTCATGCCCAATTAAGCCTGGTTTCTCTCTAGGCCTTTTTTCCTTTACATTCGAGAAGTTTGCTCCTCGCCACTGGCTTGCTTGGTCTGGGACTTGTGAAGCTGCGCATAAATGGATTTGCTCTTCAGTGTTTGGACTTTCAGCAGTGAAAATTAAACCTCGCTGAACTGAACTAAACTGAACTAAAACTGGACTGAAGCAGTTTCAAATGACTAAAACTTCTACGTTAAGCTGCTTTGACACTATCTACAGTGTAAAAGCACTATAGACATAAAGAAGAATTGAATTGAATCATTTACTAACTCTAAAACAGTAATATTGAGAACATAACCATTGATTTCCATACAGTTTGTTTTTCTTACTATTGAGGTTGATGATTGCTGGTTTCTAACATTCTTCAAAATATCTTCTTTTGTATTTCGACAGAAAAAAGGAACTCAAAAAGATTTGAAACCACTTGAGGGTGAATCAATGTAAATCTTTAGGTGAACTATCCCTTTCAGTCTTTACACAATCCACTAGAAATAATACCAATCTGAAAATCTCAATCTTTTGTATTATAAAAACGTTTACTGTTGTCTGATCAGCAGTGTGCATCCATAAATAATGAATTAAGCGGTTTAGGTTTATTTAGAAATATGTTGCAAGGACCTTCCATATTTGAGGGGTGTCCTTGTCTGACCAGTCTGTCAGTTCCACACTGCTGCAGTGCTGTCCAACCATCGGCCCAAAGCAGGTTCTGGAGGGTATGGACTCTCTAGAAAACACACCTAGAGAACCACAACAACAACAAAAATGCCTTTTCAAAATCAAAACGCAAAATCAAAACTGACTATTCCTATTGTTTCATAGAATACTGCAGAATTATTTTAATAAATGCTTAATTTTGAATTTAAACTTTTGTTAAGCCTAGTGCCCTTTTAGTATGTTAAATCTGTTAAACATTCTAAAAATATATAGTAGTCTTCATTTCTGAATCATTAAACAGGACACATTGTAATGTACAAACAAATTAAAGCTAAAAAAGCAAACCTTGAAACTGAATTGTACATAATAATTCCATGTCAAGGTGTTTCAGCAGTCTTAATGTATGCAGACTCAATGAGACTGACTGCTTTTCATTGTGCTAGATCCCAAAACAGTGGCAGAGTACTTACCAATGGGCTCATCGGTGACAGAAATGCGAAGGCACAGGGGGCGGGGCAGAGAGAGGCGGGCTCTGCTCTGAATGGGTGTGTCTGGGATGAATGTGACAGGTCCATGTTCAGGACAATCTGAGGGATAAGACCGCTCACATAAAGTGCACCCTAGAAGACAACAACAAGCATGACCCCCCCACAAAAACAATATCACATTATTAAAAGGCTCGATATTAACCCCTTGTGCATCCTTGTGTACATTTTTATCCCTCATCTTATTGAATGCACTCAGAAATACACAAGCTATGGATTATAAATCTTGTGCATTTAGCTTTATTATTATTATCATCTCAGCTGACCCCTTGTAAGTGCATCACTGAAGACCTACATTAATATCAAGTGGGAAACCAAAATCAAAACTTACATATGTTGAAGGCAGTAGCCATATTTTCCTTATTAGATGTGGAATCCTCAAGCTGTAAGGTAGAGTTCACCAGTACCAAACTGTTGTCCGGTCCAAGAGACACTTGTGCGGACACATTGACCTGCTCCAGTCCCAGTCCTGAAGGCCCGTGTAGAGATACTCGCTCTAGTTGTGTCTGCGGCAGCATTGCCCCCGTGAGCACCACACTAACCACCCCAGAGTTCAGTTCTCCAGCCGAATGCAAGGCTTCACTCAGCGTCCCGGGACCACCCGCTCCTGTACCGCCAGATCCTACTCTTCCACCCATGTGTTCCTGCTCCATCACCACCGGGAGCTCCAGTCCTGCTCCGTGAAGAGGCATAACACCTCCTGAAGAGTCCACGCCTGCTAAACCCTCGTGAGTCTGAGATCTGCTGCCGAGCTGCTGTTGGCTTTCTGCCACCACGACACCCTCCATGGTGGCTAAGTCTTCCTCTATCCCGTCAGGAGACATCGGACTGCTCACACGGGACTCCATGGTTAGTCCTGTGGCGCCCAGCTGGACTTCGTGAGAGCCTCCCTGGTGGAGATCGGCTTGGCCTCCGACCTGTCGTGTGTCTAAAGTCACCAGGCCTTGTTCTAGAGGGCCACCGGGGCCACTATAGGGGTCTAAGCCAGAAGGGTTGTTGTTGGACACAGAGAGAGTGCCATCCATGTTGAGGCTGCTAGGGTGTATGTATTGAGGTGGTGGACGATCTGCTAGATATGACAGAATACCTGAGGAGATTTTTAAAAAATAAGAGTTAATTCATGGACTAACAACCCATAGGGGGTTCATGGGGGTAATGCGTGAGTTCAGTGAAGGGATGAACATAAAATATGTGTTTATTTAAAAACTATAATTAAAAAAACAGCAAAAATCAGTCTAAGGCACTCGAAAAAATGTGGAGAAAATGTTAAAAAGCCTGAATTGACATGGCTATTCCTTAAAACTGCGCCTACAAGTTTTGGCAAACTGATCAGGGTAACAGTGCTCAGGTGCGTATACAGTTTCTTTTGAAAACTATGATCTCGTGACTCATAATATCTAAACAATACTAAAATAATATATTAAACATAAGGTCAAGTCAACAATCATTGTCAATTCAGCATTGAAAAAGGGAGAAAAAAACCTATGAAAATTTTTTTAAAGATGATGCATTTTATACAACATTTTCCTCAAATAATACAATGTGAATATGCATAGAATGAAAACACAAAGAAAAATATGTTGATACAGAAAAACAAAATAGTATAGTGTAACAAGATATTTATTATATATTACAATGTGAATGTGTATAGAATGAAACCACAAAAACTATGTATGTAACAGACAAATAGAGTAGCATAGTGTATATATATAGTGATTTTGTATTTTTATTATAATAATAATAATCATTTGAAGGAATAAAATAAAAAATTATATATTATTTCTGTCAAGAACACATTTTAGATAAATCTTCAAAACACATTTCACACATATAAAAACATTTCTAAAGCTTTACAAAAAAACACATTGTAACAAACATAAAATGTTTAAACATAAATTTAATACATTTGTAAAATTTATATATTTAAAATGTGCTTCATTTTCTTTTAAAATTTAAATAAAATGGTTTATTTAAAATGCACTGCTTGCAACAATCTTAATATTTCTTCAAATTAAAATGAATACAACTTCTACTCAAGCTTTTTAATCTATTCTGCAAATTTTATAAAATAATTTATAGAATATTTTGTTTCTGCCTATTTATTATAAATTATAATGAAAACTATGAACATTTAAAACTGCAGATTATCACATTTAAAATATATATCTTTAAGACATAATCACTAAGCCGTTCAAAACTATAATTCTGTAAGAAATGCTTCCACTAGCTAGTTTTAAGAAGATGCTAAAAACTCATCTTTTTAAGACTGCATTTTTAGATTCTTGATTATTTTAATGTGTTTATATTTTAGAATTTTTCATGTATACTTGTATTTCATTGCATGTTTGATTTCTCTATTGTTGTAGCGCTTTGGGTTTTAGAAAAGTGCAAATAAAATATATTGTTATTATTACTATAAACCTCTCTTTGTTTGACAATAAATTGACAGTGTATCCCTGAAAAGGCTATAAAGATATGTTTGATGATTGAACAATTATTATAAAAAAGCAGTTTGTAAAAATGATTAAGATATAACAGATATGTAAGATGCTGTTTTACTGTCTTATGAAGGCAAGGGCCGGTATAAGATTCTGACAACCTTGGAAAAAAACATCACGGTTTCACGGTATTGTTATTACTGCTTTAATATATATTCTTTTTAATCGTCTGAGTGAAAAACAAATAACTTTTTTCCACTTTGAACACAATATATATTTTATTTTTAGAAACATTCAAAGTATTTTGCAGCAGTAAACATGCGAGGCTTAGTAATTTAAATGAATTATTGACTTCTGATTTCTTCATTAGTTTCAAAAGCATTTCTTTACAATTTTAAATGGCTTCTTTTCTGCTGGAGATACTGTTTTCCTAAAAAAAACATACATATACTTACATATACCATAGGAACAGTATAGCATAAAATTTAGGTGGTTTTAAAATCTTGACTTTTCCAAAACGCTGTATATCTTGAAAATGGTTATCAAACAGTCCCATGCCTAGTCTTAAGAGGGGAACTCCTTTTTAAAAGTGCATCTCAACAGGTTTTCTGTAAAAAATTACCTGGTAGGATATGTCTGAAGTAGCTGCTTTCCAAGTGTGGGTATGGAGGAGGTGGTAGTGTATAATTTCTCTCTGGAAGGCCACACATAACTCCTCTGTCCCCTAAAGGACCCATGGGTAACATCAGGGACAGCGCAGAAGGAAGGGGCCCAAGTGATGGGCCCAAGCTTGGAATAGCAACTGGCATGCCTGAAATAATACCAAATGATGTAACTTTTCCATAAATTAAACATCCCACACCATATTGAACAAATTTAATGCCGTATGAGCGTATAAGTCCTGACCTGGAGTGGTGATAGGGTTGTGGGTTGGGGATGTGGGGAGGCCGAGGTGACTTGCACTCACAGGCACACTGAGCTGGTCCATGCCCACTGGGCTGAGGTTCATGTCATTCATCCTGCACAGACATATAATCATGTTATTACATTTAAAACACAGCTTTTATACCACAGTCATATATTTGTTTACCTGACACAGATCAGTTAAGGCATTGGTGTGATGGATTCATTCTTGGATCTGGAAATAAAGAGAAGGATTTAAATAATTAGTCATTTAATAGCACTTTGATATTTTGTATAATCTTACTTGTCTGACATTATACTTAACAAATCGTTTGTGTTGCTAAAGCGAATTACATCCTAAAATGAAATACCAACACCACCTAATGAATACAAATGTCTACATTACATTTCAAAATTAATAATAATAATAACGTATTTAAACTGATATCAACAATAAAGCGAGAATAAATCAGCCTATGTTCAAAGGTGCTACGTTGGCCATTTTACTATCTTATAAAAACGCAACAACACATGGCAAGATGTTCATTGCAAGTTACATATATTATTTAAACGACAAACAAATAAATAACTTACTATAAACACCACAAATTAATCCCTTCGTGTACGATTTGTGGTATGAAAACAAAAACATTGCTAAAGGCAAACATAGTATGACTCAAGACGGGGTTGTATTTCATAATAAAAGTCCCGGCATGTCACAGTCTATTACAACAAACAATTAAAATCTAACTTAAGCACATGAAACATTTAAAAATAATTACAATGCCATATTTTAATAACCTTTATGTGAACTATGTTTATATAAGTGTGTTTAATTATAAAAATAAATCAAGGAGTAAAAAAACAAACGTTTATTTTGAAATGAAAGCTCAGTTTCCTGTGTCCTAATGCACCGGAACACAAAAGCGCAGTGACTGTTCGTCTGAAAACCTGCTGTGTAATCTCGCCCCTACAGTCACTAACCGAATTTGTTAGCAATCAAGCAAGCAGTCATGCCTGATTATTTAGGAACCGAACAACGCAAAGTAAAAGAAGAGGAGAAAGAGGACAAACCCATTCGAGGTATGTTTTGCATGGACTTTTGCGTTGATTTTAATTTAAACGAATTCGCAAACAAGTTAGCATTTGTTGACTAGCCACATAACGTTAGCAGTTGTAAAGTGTCAACAGAAGCCGAATAATCTTTTGCCAGTGATTTCAGATTTTATTCCACCTATTTACTTTAACAACTTCATGATATGATATTTCAGTTCTTGTTATGTCAGCTTGTTGGCATGAGTAGGAGTCTTACAAAATAAAATCAAAGGGTCATTTGATTGGAGTATATTTTAGTAATACATTTTTAACTGTTTTACAGCTTTGGATGAAGGAGATATTGCACTTCTAAAAACCTATGTAAGTACAACTAATATAGAAGGTTACTACTACTATAGAAAGACATCTTATTTTCATTCAGATGGGTTTCAGTGAGGGTTAAGCTATTATTTGTAATAATAATTAATTACATAAATAATTAAATAACACTGTGTTATTTATTTGTGAACAGGGCCAAAGCACATATTCCAGACAGATTAAACAAGTGGAAGATGATATTCAGCAGCTTCTGAAGAAAATAAATGAGCTGACAGGTATGTTCGCTGTCGTTGCAATGTAAGAAACTGATTTTATGTCTCTCTATTTATTAAACCAAATGCACTGATGTTGTTTTGTATGTGTGTGTGTGTCCCATACAGGTATTAAAGAGTCTGATACAGGTCTGGCTCCTCCGGCACTATGGGATCTGGCAGCAGACAAGCAGACTCTACAGAGTGAGCAGCCTTTGCAGGTGGCCAGGTATGACTATTATAGCATTTTAGATATTAATCTAGGGTGCAATGAATGGTGGAATAATTTTTTTTTTTTAGATTAAAAAATAATGTAACGTTGAATGAAATTAAATGAATACATTTTCTATGAAGAAACCAGATGTAAAGTTGTACACCTAATACAGGGTGTCTGCTGTCTTAAAATGTCTTAAATTTAAAAAACAAAATTGTAGGCCTTAAAGTCTTAAATTCACAAAAATATTGTGTTGTAGGTCCTAAATTATTTTAAAAAGTTCTTAAATTTCCCATATCCAAGTAAAGCTACCTAATCGGGTTGACATCCATTCAATCACCATAAATCCATCTTAATAAAATCAAGGAAAGAAAACTAAAAACAATTACAAAGTTTCTCATGATAATAACATTGTTTATATATTTTATTTATTTATTTATTGGCAAACTGGGTTATTAGAAATAATTATCAGTGTTTAGCCCTGTAGAAGTCTAAAATTTCATTCATACTGGTCTTAAAGGGTCCTAAAAAGTCTTCAATTCACTAAAGTAGTGTCAGTAAATACTGAACCACAAATAGTTTCCATTTTTAAGTACATATACTTATATTCAGCTTTAAATAATCAAAATGTACTACATTTAAAAGTGTACATAAATACAATTTTAAGAAATTTAGCATTTGTACTAATATTGCACTTTATTTTTAAATGATAAAGCATCTTTGCTGTTTATAACAAAACAACAAAAATGAGAATTGAATTAACCATCATTTCTGAACATCACTGAATGTAATAAAGAGGTTGTAATGAAACAAGGTTTGCAAAAGCCTATACTTTTTATATAACACTACACATTTTTATTTGCTGTTCATAGATGCACCAAGATCATCAACGCTGACTCTGAGGATCCAAAGTATATCATTAATGTGAAACAGTTTGCCAAGTTTGTGGTGGACCTGAGCGATCAGGTTGCTCCGACTGACATTGAAGAAGGAATGAGGGTTGGGTAAGCAAATGAAAAGATAATCAGCTATTTCTGTTTTTACCTGCGTAGCACCTAAAAGTGATGCGTTGTGTACCTGTTCACAGCGTTGACAGGAATAAGTATCAGATCCATATTCCTCTGCCACCCAAAATCGATCCTACGGTCACTATGATGCAGGTACGAAACAACACCGATTGCTTGGTATCATTTATATTATCCAGGGACCACCGCACAAATAATTGAGTCTTGTACACATACAGGTAGAGGAGAAGCCTGATGTGACCTACAGCGATGTTGGAGGCTGCAAAGAGCAGATCGAGAAGCTCAGAGAGGTGGTCGAGACTCCTCTGCTCCATGTGAGTCATGCATGCATGCATTCAAATGTACCTTCTAATTATACACAGCGGGCATTACATGTCTATGGACATCAGTTCAAAAATAATCTCTTTTAATTTCAGCCTGAGCGCTTTGTCAACCTGGGTATTGAGCCTCCAAAGGGTGTGTTGTTGTTCGGGCCCCCTGGAACAGGGAAAACCCTGTGTGCCCGAGCTGTGGCTAACCGTACAGACGCCTGCTTCATCAGAGTCATCGGGTCTGAACTGGTCCAGAAGTATGTTGGAGAGGTAGGTGCCTTTTCTCTTCTGCATGAAGCTGTAATTAAAAAAAAAAGTGATTTAAGTGCAAGACAAATATGAATAAACACCATGTTTTGTGACTAACCTAGGGTGCCAGGATGGTTCGTGAACTCTTTGAGATGGCGAGGACCAAGAAAGCCTGTCTGATCTTCTTTGATGAAATTGATGCTATTGGAGGTAATTATAAAGTCTGCATAAGATTATTTACTACTTTTGGCCAGCTCAAGCTGCGAGACTTGAGATTTTGAGGTCCCTTAACGGTCTGCTGAGGGCCTTGCTTTAAAACAGTCAAGGTTTGGATGCAGGATGACAATTCAGTAGCATTTTCATTCCTTAGTAAACACTTGAACTAATCACCATTTGATCTAAAGTTCAGTAAACCTCTTGGGGATGTGCTTTAGTAGATTGACACCTCAGGGTCAGATAGTGACTATCTTACATGTTATATTAGCTGTATTTAAATATAAGATATTTAGACAATATCTTGTGCTAGTAACGGAGCACTTCACAGTAAGACCCCCTTAAAATTAAGACATCTCGAAAACTGAATTGTCAAGATATGTTTTTAAATATAAATCAAGCCCTGAGCATTAGTCACTGCAATAAAGATCCAATCGTAGGCTGTGTCTGAAATTGCTCCCTGTGCCCTTAAATAAGGCGCTATTTGAGGTGACATTTGTAGCAGTGTCTGAGACTAAGTTCAATCCTATAATGCATCAGCTGATGTGCTATGAGTGGTTAAAAAACACTCACAATGATCTAAAATAGGCTCATGGCAAATGAATTCCCACATATTACCAGAAGATGGTGCCCAAAGCTGAATCATCTATCCATTTTCCAACCAAATTGTACAATTGTACAAATTTTGAATTCATGAACCCTTTAACTACCCCACCCAGAAATGTTTTTACCCAGCATTTTTTTAACTCCTAATGTTGCAAGTTAACACACTTAATGTTTTTTTTTTTTTCAACATCCTATAATTTCTAAAATATCAGCCTCTACCAAATGATTGAAATGTCGGTTTATGGTAAAAGTACTGGAATTAATACATATAAAAAATCTGAAAATATGAAGTGTAAGACCACTTTATTTCAAAATATTCAAAATAAAACATTTTTGAATACTACATCTTTATTTTTTAAGTATGCCATCAAATATTTTAGATTCTCATTCAATATGCTTTTTTATACAATAAAACCAAATTAAGTGTAGAAGTGCAACAGGATTATGTTTGTTTGGTATTTTTTTTATAAACCAACAATGCTGTAAGACATTATTTAAAACAGTCATTCTTTAAATGACTTTAACAGCCATAATTTAAAACAGTCAATATGTGGTCAACCGTTTTGTTGAGCAGGCAGTTAATGGATTAATAAATTGCATAATTTAGAATTATGTGAACTAAATTTTAAAACAGTGTTGCATTATTACAGTTGCTTCCAGTTTGCTTAGTTTCAAATAATAAACAGCAAGGAACGACCACTAAGGTCATCATTTACTCCTTCAGGTGGACTATATTAGTGAACTAATGAAGGTAGCGGTAAATGAGATAACATTGGGTTATTTTAAACAATTCTATTAAATTTATTGTTATTGTTTTGTTTTTTGTCCATCTAAAAAGATAATTCTGTCATTTGCTTGAATCATGTTGTTCCAAACTTCTTCCTTTAAACCAAAACACCTTATTAGTTTGATAGAAGAAATACAAGAAATAATTATTTTGGCGAGGAAAAAAAACAACAGAGGAAAAATGGGATCTAAAACAGTTACCAACATTCATCCAGGTACTTTATGCCTACTGCTTTATTAGCATACCTTTTGTCTACTATATAATAGGGAAGCCTTAATTGGACACCTAATAACTGCACTATTGCTTTGCTCTAATAGGTGCCCGTTTTGATGATGGCGCTGGAGGTGATAATGAAGTGCAGAGAACGATGCTGGAGCTGATCAACCAGCTGGACGGATTCGATCCCAGAGGGAACATTAAAGTCCTGATGGCCACCAACAGACCAGACACCCTAGATCCTGCTCTGATGAGACCCGGCCGTCTGGACAGAAAGATCGAGTTCAGCCTGCCTGACCTGGAAGTAAGTATTAAACCAATCCAATACAATAGGCCATTTCAATGTGGCGATGTCACTGGCCCATAAACATTTCCTGCTTGTTATAAAACTATTTCATAACTATAACAAGAGGCAATTCAATCATAACTTGAGGGTAAAACCGCTATCATAACATTATTTATCATTATGTGGCTCTATTTGGATTCTCAGAAGCTATAGAAATTAAAAATAGGAAAATGGAAATATGTTGGGACTATTGATTCGTTTACCTCCCTCAAAATGGTCTATAGTGTAAGCAGTGGAAGAATTACAATAGTGACAAGGAAAAACTACTGCTACTTGTCATTTAACATCACATTCTGATTAATATGTAATGATTTGTTTTTTTTAGGGACGTACTCACATCTTCAAGATTCATGCCCGCTCTATGAGTGTGGAGAGAGATATCCGCTTTGAGCTTCTTGCACGACTCTGTCCTAACAGCACAGGTTAGTCCTTACTAGCAAACATGAAAGCACATTATACTTGCAAAGACTTAAAGTTTCCAGCTTAAGTTCACGTTGCTTGCTGTGTTTTTCTCCCCTCAGGTGCTGAGATTCGCAGCGTGTGCACGGAGGCTGGAATGTTCGCCATTAGAGCTCGTAGAAAAATCGCCACGGAGAAAGACTTCCTGGAGGCCGTGAATAAGGTCATCAAGTCTTACGCCAAGTTCAGCGCCACCCCTCGCTACATGACTTACAACTAAACCTCTTGTATGTGCTTTTCTGTTTGTTTTCTGCCTGATATAATTCAAAGATTCCTGTCGTTCTGTGATGTCACGTATCCAATAAAAACATTATCCATACTAGATGTCCTCTGTATTATTTTTAAGAAAAAATATTCCCTCAGAAACGTCTTTCACACACAAACTAGCAAGTGAAAGAGGGTCTAATTTGTAAGTTGGCATTGAAAGCTATTTTATACCCATTTAAAAATATATAAATAAATTGGAAGGCACTTTTAAGGAATAAACATTTAATAATTTAGAGTTGTGATTTGCATTTATTATACAATAAAAAATATCCTAAATTCACAAATGCATAAAAAGACAATAAAATACACTGCCGTTGCAACTGATTGTTGAACTTTGGTCTTCATTACCCCCCAATAAAACAGCATCTAAATATTAGTACAGAATAAAATATATATATTTATAAAATCCTTATGAGCACAAAGAGTGCCCGGAGTGACCATTTCATAGGCAGTGTCTGCGTCAAACATCAGAGACTTCATGTAACGCTTCATGTGATGTCTGCTGCTTGAAATGCGCTGTTTCAATAATCAATAACCAAGAACACTTTGTGATAATAATGTTTTTTGAAGTCACACAAAGAAAATAAATACAAACAGTAGGTTCAAACTAACCCTGGTGTGACCTAGATAAACTATTAGCCAAAAAAAATGTCACCGATTGAACTAAAGGGGCTGTAAAACCCTAAAGCGAAAAAGCACAATCAATATCTGGCAGCAAACGAAGTTGTTTTTCTCAGAAACGTCAGATTAAAGTATATCATAACATCAAAAGCAGCATCTTCGCCAACTGTGCGATATTAAGTAACAAATTAAGCTGCTTTTTAAAACGACTGAATACTACAGCCAGATCAGAAACGGCACCAAATAATAATAAAACAGAAATACTCATGATTAGCCTAATTTGTATTGCCAAACAGCAAGCACACCGTGTACAACTTTAAAACTAAATTTCTATCATAAAAATAAGCTCGCTGGAATGTCATTAAAAGATTTAGACCAGCGCTAAAAACCTAAATTGGTCATTAATCCATCCACCCTAATTGCACTTAAAATAACTGAAGGTACAGAGTGTTTTACAGTCGTCAGTATCTTAAAAACATGGCTATTGCGATAATAACCAGAGTAGCCACAATATTAAGCCCAACAGTTGCTGGTATATTGGCATTAAATAAAGTGTTTTTTGAAATCTAAAACATTTTGGGCTCGGTGACTTCCAAAGCGACTTAGGAGTAACAGTACATGTGCTCGTTCCAGCACAACGCCATCCATATTAGCGCCACTCCAGCCCTACCCGCTCAAACCCAGAGGTCACCTGGGTGTTTTGTTTGTGTTCAGTGGATGTTTGGGTGGACGGGAAGATCCCTCCAACGTTTACACTGCAGTACTGCGTCATGAATGGTGGGGAAAATGAGGTCAGGGGTCACAGGCTCACTGAAGAACTGGAGCGTCCTGAGTTCAGACAGAAGGGTCCCTGCACAACACAAACATATATATACGGTTATACAAGCATCTTGAGGAAGAATTTGTTTATTGTTTTAATATTCATTTATTTTATATTACATAATATTTGATCAATTAACTTAAATTTCTAGTTGGCTGTCTGTATGAGCTTGTTTTTAGTCGCAACTCTAGGTGGAGATGTTTCCCACATCCAGCAAATATGAATAAACTTTAACCTACATAAAGCATTTGATCTCTGATAGACACTTCATTTATATATTATATTATATTATATTATATTATATTATATTATATTATATTAAATTATGTGTAAATATACATTACCTATTGCCATGTTTAACAAATATATTAATGAACTTTAACCTACATAAAGCCTACAAACTTATCGATTTATATTATATTATATTATATTAAGCTGAATTATATTATCAGCTGTCTTTGTTATTATATCATTCCATACAGTATGTACAGATATAAATTACTCACTGCTACATATAAAATGTAAAGTAATGGTTTATAACATGTTGCCATGTTTAACAAATATATCAATGAACTTTAACCTAAATAAAGCAAACGCTTATGGAATTATATTATCGAATAATATTATGTTATTAGATATGTATGTTATGTTACATAACATATGTATATTATTATGTTATACATTATTTATTGCCATGTTATATTATATAATATTATATTATATAATATTATATTATATTATATTATATTATATTATATTATATTATATTATATTATATTATATTATATTATACGGCATCAGTTGTCTTGTGTCAAGTGTTTGTCCCTGTTAAATAAACAAACAAACAAACAAATAAATAAATATTATATTATTACATTTGTACAGATAAAAATTACTGCCTGCTACATTTGTAATGTAATGGTTTATAATATATTGGCATGGTTAACAATTTAACCGCCACAGTGGAATGAACCGCCAACTTATCCAGCAAGTTTTTATTTTATTATATTATATTATATTATATTATATTATATTATATTATATTATATTATATTATATTATATTATATTATATTATATTATATTTAGTGCTGGGCAAAGCCTAATTACAACTAATTGCATCTATGTATACAGTTAAATTTAGAATTATTAGCCCCTCTTTGAATTTTTTTTCTTTTTTAAATATTTCCTAAATGATGTTTAACAGAGCAAGGAAATTTTTACAGTACGTCTGCTAATATTCTTTTCTTCTAGAGAAAGTCTTATTTGTTTTATTTTTGGCTAGAATAAAAGCAGATTTAATTTTTTTTAAAACCATTTTAAGGTAAAAATTATTAGCCCCTTTAAGCTATATATTTTTTCAATAGTCTACAGAACAAACCATCGTTATACAATAACTTGCCAAATTACCCTAACCTGCCTAGTTAACCTAATTAACCTAGTTAAGCCTTTAAATGTCACTTTAACCTGTATAGAAGTGTCTTGAAAAATAGCTAGTAAAATATTATTTACTGTCATCAGGGCAAAGATAAAATAAATCAGTTATTAGAGAGGAGTTATTAAAACTATTATGTTTAGAAATGTGTTGAAAAAAATCTTTTCTTTGTTAAACAGAAATTAGGGGAAAATAAACAGGGGGTCTATTAATTAATAAACACTTAAATAATATCAAAACAAACTTTTATTTCTGATGTGATTAATTGCAATAATTTTTTTCCCAGCACTAAAACTATTTTATGCCTCCTATATTACTTAGGAAGTGATTACTCTTTGCTACACATATTAAACTCTATTATATAATATTGCGATTTACTTATTTATTTGAAATAAATAACTTACTGCTACATCCAGCAAGTACAACCTTCACGTCAACTGTTGCATACTCTTTGATCACCTGCAAGACAAAGAAAAACAATTGCATAACGTTTCTACAATGTTTTGTGTGATTGTCAAAAAGTTGTGAAAGAGCTGCTAAGGTGTTCAGATTGTTTTGAGCAACTTGGATCTATGGTATTTTATTGCTTTTTTTACGCGAGTAAATATAAATGATATCGCTCAGTAACTGCACAGCTCATTATCCATCGCCCAAATAATTACGAAAGTGTAATATCTTAAAGTTTTATACTAAATGTTGAGGGTTTGTTTAAATATCAAACTCCAAGTGTGAGAAATAGTAAAACAGAATGGAAATCTCCTCCTTACCCTGCAAAAAAACAACAACAAACAAACACCTAAGCAATTATATGTAACAGCTCAGCATGTGGTCAAACATATTAACCCAGATAGGTTGCAAATATCGGTCTTGTTTGAGAATAAAAGCTGTCGACTTACTGATTTAATGGTTTTGGCTCCTACAGAGTCAATAAAGTTAACAGGAGTAAAGTCCAGGATGACGGAGTGAATGGGGGTGAGACGCTGCAGAAAGAATTCATCCTCAGATTCAGATTCGATGTGTTTCTCGGTCATCTGGCCATTGGTGTGTACATGCTTTGGTTTTTGTGGCCCGTTCAGGACTTCATGAGTGACGCCCAGCTCCATGTCCTATTAGGGCATAGCAGAATATATCAAAGTCAGAAATGATGCATCACTAAATCGCTGCATTACAAAGAGAGATTTATTATAATATGGAATAGATATAGTGGTGTGCTTCATGGGCCTGGGTGAAGGTTATATAGTTTGCATAGATGTAAAATGGCATTTGGATTGCAATCATTTACTTAAAGATATGGGTGTGTGAGATATTTATCGTCTTATAGTAATAGTAGTTATAAGCTGTCTAAAAAACCTTCTTAAATCTAAAAGCATTCACTGTGTGATGAAATCTATTGGAATGAAGTTTAAATGAATCAATAATTCTGTGAATAATACACAAGCAAGTTCATGCTTTCATGAACACTAGAACGCGATCAATAACGTTAAATATTGAATGACTGACAGTATTGACACAGTATTGTCTGATTTTTGTTGTTTCGTCAATGTAAATAATTCCAAACAAAGTTGGAACAGAACATTTGTGCATTTTAGAGTTACATGACTTGTTCCTGAATGAATCTGTTTTTAATGAAATAATCTGAGTCAATGATTTGTTCTCTTGCATCGTTTCTGAACAAATCTGCTAATTATTTAATGATTCAACATAACAGTGTTTAAGACAGGGACTTGTCGCCATCTACTGGCTAGTGTTGTCACAATACTAAAATTAGATCTCAATTAGAACTGAAATTTAAAAAATGTCCATTTCCTGCTAACATTTGAGCACTTTCTTAAACAACGCTGATTGGCCATTGTTTTCACAAGCTAAACAGAAATGACTGTGATTGATCGTGAAGGTCATCAGTTCACCACTCACCTCTGTTTACTTAGTTTAACTACAGATACATGGACACTGTATCGCTTTAAAGCCGAGAAAATCAGCTGATTCAACAGCCGATCGCTTGTATGTCAGCTTATAAACAGATCAGCTGATCTTTGTGGCTTTAAAAGGCTCAAAACAGTGTTGAGTTCGGTGAACTGATGACCTTCACAGCCAATCACAGTCATTTGTGTTGAGCATGTGAACACAACGGCAAATCAGGGCTGTTTAAGAACGTGCTCAGTAGCGCTCAAATGTCAGCGGGAAATGGACGTTTTCAAAATCCTAGCACCGATTGGTATCAAATTCCAGTTTCGTGACAACACTATCACTGATGCAAAAAGCATATAATTATTAATTAAAAATTGTTTTCACAAAAATAAATATATTGACAATAACTGCACACCTCTACTTTCACATGAATCAAAACACAATTTTGTTATGAAAATTCTACAATTCCATGGAAAATTATCTGCTGCAACATGAAATCTACAAGCATCTGTGTAAAAGATAAGAAAATGCCAAAGTTACAGATGAAATATGTTCAGGTGAAGAAAAAAAAGCATACCAATAAGACGACTGCATTTTTCTTCAGCAAAGAGCCTTGGTTTACAGTCTTTGTACCCTCTGTGTCTCTTTTGGCATATTTGAGCTGTAATTTCTTGGCATCAAGCAGTTTTTCCGGGTCAATTCCAGTCTGAAGGCATACAAAGTAAAAATGTAAACCACATCTGTGAAACGGACTGAACTTTACAAGGCCAAACACCTGTTGTTCATGGAAACGTTTCACTTTCACAGGATGCGGCAAACACACTCAAGGACAGAACAGTAAAAGACTTTTCTGGTCTAAACCACAAGTTAATCATAACACTGAGCATTTCGACTTACCTTTGCCTTGAGGGCCTTGACATACAGCTCACTGTTTGCGAAGTAGATGGAGGAATTGGACTGAAAAATCTTAATCCCTGAGCATTCCTCAGCCTTGAGCAAGAGAACAAACGGTAGATAAGAAAAAAAAATAAGTTAAATGAGGGCCAGTTTGGCTCCTGTGACTAAGTAGAGCTGAGAATGAATGGAGTAGAGGCTCCAAGTCTAATGTGATGGTTATAAGTTCAGTCTCCTCTAAATATAACATAGGAACTTTTTAAAATTAAATGTCTTACCTCTTCATATTCATCCACATCAAAGTACAATCCTGTATCTGGGATTTGTCCAAGAACGACATTTTTGGGGCTTAAAACAAAAGAAAAAAATGTGAATCAGACATTAACATTCATGAAATTATATATTTATAAAGAATACATACAGTATATTACATCTAATAGTATATTTTACTACAGGGTTCATTATATATATAAAAAATAATAGTAAGTAATAATAGTATTGTATAATAGTAATAACCAGAGGAGGAAAATAAGTAAATACATTTTATTTCTACATCAAGAGCAGTTTTCCTGCATAAGTTTTATCCAGCAAAAGAGCATTCTGTGTTTTGTATTAGTTGACATTAGAGCATTAAGACTTGGAGTTTTACCGTTGTGTTCTGTAAATCACGGTGAGTATAGCAAAAGCCATGGCAACCGCCAAACCATAATCCAGGCCCAGGAGAACCGATGCAAAAAAAGACACCAGCCAAATTGCCTGAAAAAAACATGTCAGCCATTAACAGCAAAAACAACAAATCGTGTCCAAAAAATAACCCAATACAGAGTAAAATGAGTCTCTCAAAGAAAAGAATAAATGCAAAGCATAAGTAAACTGGAAATTGGTAAAAACATTATGATGAATAGCCAAATGAGAATTCCCTCAGACGCTCACCAGTTCAATCTTGCTTTTTCTCCATAAAACTGGAATATCCCTTGTTTGCTTAAACATCCCCAGGAGATTAACCATGATGATAGCAGCCAACACCGTCTGATGAGAGTGCAAAGATGACAATAATAAACATCACCTTTGACGTTTTGCAAGAATTCTTTGGTTTTGCCCAGAAAAAAACAGACTACAAAACATACCTTCTCCGATTTATTGACAGGTTTGGGTTAATTTAAATTAAACTCTTGTGCACTTGATCTGTTCATTGCAGTTCAATTAAGTATGAATGCTGCCGACATACGCCAAACAAGCGTACCAAGACCTTTGAGAAATTCCAAAAAGGTGATTTTGAATGATTAGAATGTTTAATTGTTATATGTTCAAAAGAGAAATTAAAAAAATATGGTGGAATAAACCTGTAATGAACCTGTAAAGCTGTAATTTTATATTGCATCAACAACAAAAAAAAAGGTTATTCTCACCAATAGTCATTTTCTAGACAAAAAAAACTTTAAATGACAATATTTTATATATGTTAAATTTTCTTTAATCACACCATTACTGACAAAAAGGTAAATATAAACATTTTTCTCAACCCAAAATCTAATAAATCCAGAACAAATGCAGATTTTTATATTTAGGTTTGGCTTAAAAATGACAGTGTGAAAGTCAATTGCCCCTTTCACACATGCAGACCTATCCGGAAAATTACAGTAATTTTTTTTCGTAAAGGGATCATGTGTGAACAGGCCATTTTTGAAAATACCTGAAAATTCGTTCCGCCAATTTTCCGGAAAGAGAAGTTGTAACATTGCTAGTAATTTTCCAGAATGCTGCCCTGTGTAAACGCAGAAGGAAGATTGCCGGAAAGAGCGTGTTCCCTTGCTGACGTGAAACGTCTACTCCAGCCAATCAGAACTCTCAGACGCATTCACATGTTTAAGAAAATAAATATTTTTCCAGACACATTTAGCTGCAAGATGTTAGTCAGATACGTTTCAATGTTCCTTCTTAATGCCAACTGTGGAAAAAATTATCGATAAAATGTTTATGGTAAACCGCCGTTTTTTACCTTTAAGCTCTGCTTCATTTGCTTGATGCGTGCACGTGAAGCAGCCGGTGAGCGCCAGCACACACACATAATATGTAACGTTACCATCATCCATCAACAAAAGCCTGACCCCTTCTAAGTTTACAAATACAAGCCCAGTCGCTTAGAGCTCATTTCTGGTTAATGATGTCATTTACTGGAATTTTGGAATGGATATGTGAATTATCTTTTTCGGAAAAATTCCGGAACGTTTTTGCCTGTGTGAACAACGCTTTTATTGAATATACCGGTAAAGTCGATCCTGTCATTTTCCGGATATTTTCCGGTTTACCAATGTGAAAGGGGCTAATGAAGACTACATGTAGTATTTTCCTTTTCAATCTGGACCAAAAGAACCGAACTATACGTATAGCACTTCACATACCGTGGGTAATGGCTGAAAGACAAATCCAATGGCCACCACCACCAGTAGCACAAGTAGGGACGCCAAGAGACCTGCAATCTACAGACACACACAAATTACCGTCATTAAATTGAGCGTTTCGGGAGGCACGGCTGAATCTTATCTTATCTTTATGCTTTTACAGCAGTGATACTACCACTGTGGTGAGGTCATTATCTGAAGGACACTCCATTTCGGGAAATGTATCCTTGCAATCATCATTTGCATTAATCCTTATTCGAATCATCGATATGGCATATTACACAAATGTGTCTGACTTACTTCAGTATGTCCTCCAGTGCTCTCCTGTACCAGGCTGCGAGACATTGAGGCGGTGACGACAAACGTGTGGAAGAACGAACTGACAAAGTTACAAAGTCCCAGCGCGATGAGCTCCTACAGGCACATGAAATGCACAATGACTTCACTTTGGGACCATAACAATGTTAAAAATGTTGTATAAGTGCTGTGAAAGATTTGAACTAAGCAATTTGTAACCCCATTTTACATAATGTGCACGATATACACTATTAGGCATGAGACGATAACCGTTTTCAAGATATACCGCAGTTTGGAAAAGTCAAGGTTTTAAAACCGCCTAAATTTTTTTGTTTTTAGGTCAACAGTATCTCCAGCAGAAAAAAATATCCAAAGATGCCATTTTGAATTGTAAAGAAATCTGTGTTTTTGAAACTAATGAAGACAGCAGAAGTAGATTATTTATTTAAATTATATAGCCTGACATGTTTACTGCTCCAAATTATCATAAATCTTTCAAAAAATAGAATATACTATTTTCAAAAGGGATTTTTTTTGTTTGTTTTTTACATTTAAAAAGAATATATTTTAGAGTAGTGAGCACAATACAGTGATAACATGAAACCCTGATACCTTTATCCAAGGTTATCATACCATTAAATTCTTATACCGGTTCATGCCTATACACAATCATTCAATTTTTAAAACAGATATGAATACTTTTTACTCAGCAAGGATGAATTAAGATTTATCAAAACTATTTGCAGTGTTACAAAAATATATTTAAAAAACTGTTGTTTTTTTATCTTACCAAAGAAAAATCTAAAAGAAGTGTACATGCATGTAAACACTGCAAATAGTGAAAAGATTGTTGGCATGCTGTTTTAAACAAAGGCCTGCCACTCTATATAAAGCAAATGATGTTTGCTCAGCACAAAAGCTTGTTACTAAACAAGAAAACTGGTCACAATCCATCTCTATAACTGCTGTTCACTTAGGCTTGCCACTTTGCACTATTTGCCCCATTTGAACTATCCTTGAAATTAGTGTACGGTAACTCACTTTGGACAAAAGTATCCACTAAATGGCAAGTAACTAAGTAACAGTGGGGTCTGGCTGATTTAAACTTTCAACTGCAACTTAAAAGCCATAGAAACCCAAATAAAAGGCAGCTAAATAACATCCAGGCCCCTGTTTCAAGGAAACAGAATCAAGTTACTTTAACAATGAAGAATAGGACAACTGAATTAGATTACGGTGCAGCAATGCATCTCATTTTAAATCACTGTCAACCTGGAAAATGTCTTTGGGGCGATGTATTTGTTTGTAAAATGTGCTAGCTCATGTTATCCTTCTTCAAATTAAATGCAATATTCAGTGCTTGAATACTTTTTAGTACAATGACAATACCAAAAGTGTAATAACAGTACAGAAAAATGAAACATGAGTTAACCAATTTTGTCTTCAAATAAATTCTTTTATTCTATTTCTATTATGAAATTTCTATTATCTCAACTAATAAAAACCAAAGGTATTTTGTGGTTACTATCATTTAACTACAATAAAAATTGTTTTGTTATATTTGTAGTAAAATTCATATTCTGATTCATCTAACTCATCAACCATGGGATTTAGAAATCTATCATGTGATTTATTCAAATGAAGATATGTAAAACGTCAACTATTATTATCCGTTATAAAAATGACAACATTTGTTTTAAACATTTGAAAATCATCCGAAAAAATGTACTGTTACACCTAATTTTCTCCTCTACCTGATTTCCATCAACACTGTAGCCATACTTTAGAGCGAAGGTTTTGGCTAATGAGATTGTAATGGAAAATCCAACAACAGCTATAGGAACGGCGTCTGCAAAGAGGTTTGGAAAAACTGAGAAGTCTGGAACCTTGGGTGGCAGCAACCTTCAAACAAAACATTAAGGAAAGAAATATTATAATGGGAACATTTGCAAAAATACAAACAGCGTTAATTCTGTATATTTAAGCATGGCTGTAAATCTTACCCGGTAGGAATTTTACCCACAACGTCCACACCATAGTTTTCAGACATAAGCATCCCGTATGAGATACCAGTGGACACAATTACCTAAACAAGAACAACATCATGCATTTAAACAGGGGGATTTTCTGTGTGTGATCATGAGCACAATGTTTCATGAGAAAGGCATTTAAAGCTTTACCACTATGATTTCTCCAGGGATGGGGATAAGTAGCTTCTTCTTGAAGCGTTCGTTGAGCTGTTTGATGATGTACAGGAACACAGTACACCCCAGCCCAATAATTAGAGTGACAATATTAGTGTCTGCAATGTTCCTGAGGACAGCATCGAGACTCTGGGGAAAATAAAGTGAACAAACATAAAAATAAAAGAACAATTACAGATCAGTATTAGAGTCTTATTTTATTAATATTTAGCTTTATATATATTTTTTTAAAGTGACATTTGAAAATAGTCGCATTTTATTATCTGAAACATGCTGCAAACATAAGTCATATATTTCATTTTTAAGCAATTACCATCAAGCAAACCAAACATGAGTGATACCGAACGAAAGAGGCCTGCAAGTATTTGTACAGCTTCATTGAGCATTTTTTAAATTCAAATTTCTTAGGTTCATTAGTTAATGTTAATGAATCCATTTACTAACATGAACTAACAATGAACAATACATCTACTGTATTTGTTCATGTTAGTTAACGTTAGTTAATGAAAATACAGTAGTTCATTGTTAGTTCATGTTAACTCATGGTGCATTAACTAATGTTAACAAGCATGGACTTGGATGTTAATAATGGATTAGTAAATGTTCAATTATGATTAATAAATGCTGTACATGTGTTGTTCATGATTAGTTCATGTTAGTAAATGCATTAACTAATGAACCTTATTGTAAAGTGTTACCAACAAAATTAACACCAAAGAATCGTAAGATCCTTTTTTCAATCTCCTTGCAAATAGATGTTTTATACAGGTGTAAACAGAGTCTAATCTGTTTTGACTACTTCCAGAGGTACTTTTGTAGTGTAAACACAAAAAATGTTCAAATAGTCACGAAGACCAGCAAATATCTTACCCAACAAATTATCATTAAAAGTTTTATGAGAAAGCACACAAAAAAAACCTGCATATGTTTTGTGTTTAAAAGAAGTTTTTATAGACATTTATTGGTATCTAATCTTTGCAAAAACAAGGCTAAATTTGTACAGTAAAAACAGTAAAAAAAAATCTAACAGAAGTTTAAGAATAGCTCAAAACTAGACTAATTATCAAATGGACAGAAATGAATGACTAGACATGTGAAGTCTGTGGAATATGTATATTTGTTGACAAGTCTAGTTTAGGGCTGTTTTAAGACGTCTATTAGATTTAGCCTTGCTTTAGTCAAGACATCTACGTTTACATGTATAATAAACATCTGTTAAATGCTAAACTGCTTGGTCGGAATCTAAATCTTAATTGTAATCCACATAGTTTTAATTTGCTTGCTTTCCTGCTGCTCATAAATAGGGCCAGACAGAATCTGCAGGCATTTTTTGCTATTTCTGCAGAGAATTTTGTAAAAAAAAAAATCTAGAGATTTACATTAATATTTTGGGAGTATTACAAGTAAAACTTAATGTATAAAATAAAAAAATAATACCTTTTCAACTTTTATTTCATGTTTACAATGCAAATCTAATTAGATCAACTTATTTGATAAACAAAGCAAGTCTCATATATCTACTATAAGACAGAAAATATTACTTTACAAATTGTATTGTAAACAAATCATATGAACATTTTAATATGAGTCAATAATATTACTGAAGTAAATTAAAACACTGAATAAATATAAATTGACACACATTTACAAGTAAATAAATAGACTCAATCTGTGTATTTCCAGATTCTGGGCCTTCTCATAAGGCACATAACATGGTTTGTTCATTCATGTCGCACTGAGCACTCACACAAAAGCAGAATGAAAATATGATAGAAGAGCTTCAACAAATCTGAACACAAGTGGTCACAGAGATGCATTTAAATACATGTTGACAATACTATCTGGAAACAGGGTCTAAATGTTCATTAAATAATGTAAAAGAGGTTAACAAAAAACTAACTCTCAAAAGTTTACTCACATACACTACAGAAAGAGGCCCATTGAAGCGTGCAGTCTTCACTCCCAGCAGGTACTTGAGTTGCGACACTGAGACGTGCACAGCCGCGGCAGTGGTGAAACCTCGCACCAGCGGCTCAGTCAGATAAATCGCCAGGAAACCAAACCTCAGCAGACCCAGTACAAACTACAGGAGAGCGAAAAACAATTATGTTCCCAAACATCAATCTGAAAGTAACTATAGTAACCTGAGAAGGATAACATGAAGTAATCGGCTCAAGCAGGTTAACAGTATTCCATAAAAGGTGCCAATTAAAAACAGTGTGTGAGAGGTTTGTTATGTGTACCATGGACTGCTTTTAATAGGTTTATAGTAACATTGTACTGCACTTCTTTCTAGTACAAAGTATGTCATTATAAAGTTGCTCCCCTTTAGAAGAGACTATAAGCTGAGTGAACTAAAAACTGCAGTCAAGTTTTTTCCGGAAAAAAAAGTGTGTGATCTACTAAACATGGCAATCAGTCTGTTTTGTAATAAGAATATTCAGCTGTGTTGCAGGAATTTAGTTGTGTGCCTAACAAACACATCTAAAAATGGACTTGTTTTGATCTGCTATGGTTCCAGTGTGTCAAGAATATTACAAAAAATTATTTTAAGATAGAAATAATTAAATAATTCTCAAAAAGTATTGAGAAGACTGTATAATTAATATGATGCTCAAAGGAATGGTAAGGAGGCGATCAGAGAGTGACGCACCTGGATGATTCCTACTAGAGTTGTCAGAGCTACAACCACCTCCACTCTTCTGGAATCACGGGCCTCAATATTCACAACCAGTGAAGAATTGGTCCCATTGACCATAAACATGGAGTCTGGGGCCTCTCTTACAGCAACCCCACCAATCATCAGACTGATTACAGCAAATGTGCCTGAAAAAAAACAATACATTTAACTTAATACTTAAAGATGCTGTGCTAAAGTTAATAATAGTATGCAATATTTAATAATAATAATAATAATAATAATAATAAATGCATAATACTTTTAAAAATAAACATTAAAATAATATAAAGTGCATTATTAGTATTACTTCTAAAACAATAACAACAACAACAATTACTATAATATAACAGTTTATTAAATTTAGGATAATTAAATGCTAGTTTTTATAATACTGTAATTCAACCTAAATTTATTATAAATATTATTATTATCTTTCTTTACACATAATACAAAATTAAATACTTAATTATTTTAACATTTTTATTATTAATAATAAAATAATAGCAATAAGAAAAATTAAAAATAATAATAACAACATTACTGCTACTACTATATCAAATAATAAATAAATTATTATACAATATAAGATATATTTTTATAAATATATTATTATTTTATTTATTTTTATGTTACTGTAAAACAAATGCAAATAAAGTATAGTTATTATTACCATCATCATCATCATATTTACTATAAAGATTAATACAACTTAAAATATTGTAATCCATATTTATTAATATTGTTACAACTACTATTTCCAATTACATTCCCACCTATATTTTTGAAATATATATAAAACAAATGCTATGTACTAATATTACTACTACAACTAATATCAATTATTATTAGTTCAATATCATATAATGTAATATCTATTACTCAGTCATTATTATGTACAGTTAGAGTCAGAATCAATGCTTCCCTTTGAATTCTTTTATTGTTTTTACTTCGGCTCGAATAAAAGCAGTTTAAAAAATTTTAAAAGCCATTTTAAGGTCAAAATTATTAGCCCCTATAAGCTATATTTTTTGATGGTCTACAGAACAAACCATTGCTATACAATAACTTGTCTAATTACCCTAACTTGCCTAAATAGCCTAATTAACCTAGTTAGAAGTATCTTGAAAAATGTCTAGTCAAATATTATTTACTGTCATCATGGCAAAGATCAAATAAATCAGTTACTAGAAAAGAGTCATTAAAACTATTATGTTTAGAAATATGCTGAAAAAAATGTTAAACAAAATTTGGGGAATAAAACAAACAAGGGGGCTAATCATTTTGACTTTAACTGTATATTATAATGTAGATTATATATAGATTTATACTAATTTGATTTAATTACTTTTTTTAAGCCTTACAGAACCATTGTGTGAGAAAGTAACAGGTGGTGTAATCACTTGAGTACACCATGTATGGTGAATGAGTGTTGTTGTCAGGGGAGCAAAAGCATCTGTAATCATATGAGGAAAAACACACGTCCTACTGCATATATAAACATGAGCTCTACCAATGCAAGCCCTCTGAAACTGGTCTGTATTATATTGCCATTACACCATGGAAGGACGGAGCATGAGTGTTGTTTAAACAAGAAAAAGCATGCCTCTGTGCAGCAGGACATTACCAAATGTTTGAACAAGCGCCAATTCTCCTGCTCTCAACGCAAACCACAGGGGCTGAGAAAGCAAGATATTGAAGCAACAACTCTGGCTTGAGTAACCTTCTGACTTTTGAACTTTTGATCCATCTTCTCTGTGGAGTTTCTAACATCCCGTTGTGATTTCAGAGGGATTGAAGATCTCCACATTAAACAGGAGACAAAAACAACACCGCAGGGCATCTACCTACCCATAAAACTCGCTGATAAACCTCTTTAAAATACTATTTTATTTCAGTACTCACGACAAACAGGACATTGCAATCAAAGCACTTTTAGAGCTGTTAACAGGTATATTTGGCAGGAAATAAAAAAGTGGCTTTCTGATCTGATGAGACGAAGGTACAGGAATCCAGAAATGAGGGGAAAAGTTTTTGTTTTTTAGATCATATCAAACTGAACTGCTCATGTTTAGTCTGCCAGAAATGGTTTGCATAATAACTATGACTTAGCAAAACAGTATGGAGGAATGTCACATTACAGGAAGTCACACAGCGCAGCTTATTCTGAGACTGTCTGAATAACATGTGAAATTGTGAAGTGCGGTGTGGGGTGGGTTTATCTAAAATAAACTATATTATTATTATTATTATTATTGTAGCTTATAAAATAAATCGCTTTTAACTAAATTATAAACATTCTTGACTAATTGAAATCATTCTAAAATTCAATCAATCCGAGTATTACTTTCCAGGTCGGGGAAGCACTTTTTTGTCACCTCATTTGTAAGTCGCTTTAAATAAAGGTGTCTGCTAAATTAATACATGTAGAGGTTATGTGAAAAACTATCAACAGACGATCAATGGACCAACTCTGGGTGGTCCGTCTAAGGCTGAAACCTTATTTAGGTCACATGCATGTTATTAAAAACCTCAAGAATCTCACCTATTGATATATGTTTGGAGGTACCAAAGAATGTGTATAACAGGACGGGATAAAATGATGAATATAAGCCAAACACTGGAGGGACAGCTGCCAGCATTGCATAAGCAAGACCTGTTGAACATAACAAATAGAAAAAGAGAGAAAAATACAAATATTAATAAATAACAGTGTTGTTGTAATGGATAAGTGTATACGCAGATTTAATACTATTACTATATGTTGTTATTAGGCATGTTAAATTGCATCATAGACCAAAAAAATCTATCATAACCCCTTTTTTTTTATTAAAACCTAATTTAGTTTTTATTTTTTTTTACATAATTTTAAGCTATTCAATTCAGGGGGAATATTCCAGTCCACATTTTTGTAAAATCCTGCATTCAAACAGAGCTATTTGCAAAGTATCATTGCATAAATTATGTAATAATTATGTAACAATCATAATTATGCTTAATTTCATGATAAATAAATAAGTAAACAACCCCAGAGTTCATTTTTTAACATTACACTGTTTTCTGTGTGATATCTCACCTTGAGGTAGCTGCATTACACCTGTGCTGATTCCTGAGACAATGTCCCCAAAAAGATATTCCTTTAGTGGATATGATGGCAGCCATGTTAAAATGGGTAGAAAACCAAATACAACAGACTTGACTTTCTCAGACGAACAGCTGAAAAACGAGAGCGATGAACGTTAGTATGAAGTTAGCATACACATAAAACACAAATGCTTTTGAAATCCAAATCGTCTAAAGGATTGTTAGTCTGCATTATTTAGAGCAAACGGAGCCAGGAACACTTCCCCAAAGACATTATAATTTGAACGGCATCTTATGTTAGTCTTTTTTTTTTTTTTTTTCAGAGGTTTCCATAATCTTGGACCAGGCCGTATCCAGAGCAATTGCTGTGGTGGTTATAGAGGAGTGGAGAGCATGAGACTGATCCTTGTAAGCCCCCAGTGACAGACGAGTCTTCGCAACGATCCTGAAGGGACAGCCTGTACACCAACCAGTGACCTCTCCCACCTGCAGCTTCTCCACGATAGACGTCCAGCATTCTCCAGCCTCCGGCACCTAGACTGCAGCTTTGCACAAGACGTTTGACCATAGGAGTAATGGTCGTGCCCAACTGAGCCTGGTTTCTCTCGAGTTTTTTTAATTCTTCACTTTCGCCAATTGGTGAAGTTTTTTCCTCGCCACTGTAGCCACTGGCTCGCATGGTTCGGGACCTGTGGAGCTGCGCATCGATGGATTTGCTTTTAAGCGTTTAAACTCTCAGAGGTTAACATTAAACCAGACTGAACTGAACTAAACTGAACGTCAACACTGAAAACTGACACTGTGTCAATTTAGTATCATCTTCTATGTGAAGCTGCTTTGACACAATCTACATTATAAAAGCGCTAAAGAAATAAAGATGAATTGAATATGAAGTATTCAAGGTCAAATTCTCCAAGCCATTTTACATCCTTGATGTCGAATCAGACGTGAAACATTTTATTACATCATACTTGAACTAGATTCAGTAATGGAGGAAATGATTATCACTGAATGACGATTTAAGTTATAGTCTGTCTGAGAAGTGAATCATCAGTTAATAAACCAGCTCAGACTGGGAGAGACAGGTTTACAAATCTTATGTGTCGGGACAGTTGTGTAACATAGTAGTACTGCAATCTTATATGCCAGACATGATAAAATAATGGAGGAGGCCATAAATAAACGGTTGTTTACTTAGTCACACAGCCGTTTTATCAGTTAAACCAATTTTCAGAGGTTCAGACAAGGGTTACACCTGATACCACTATTACAGCTGAGAAAGTCAAAGATATCATGTGAAGCAATGCAACTGGTTTTGCCTTAATAAATTGTCCTTACATTTGGGTAAAGCTGAATTTATTTATTTGGTTTAGCTGCGAAACTAAGAATATGTATCGGTTCAGAGATAAAAGTAATGGATCAAATTATCACTCTAAAACAGGAAGTGAAATATTTAGATTGCATTTTAGATTCGACAGTAATTCGACAGGCGAAAAGATGGCTGTTATATAGTTCATTTAAAAAATTTTTTAAAAAAATAACGTTTTTAGCAAGACAGGCAGAGCTCCTAGATACCCAAACTTTAAAAAAAATTAGCTAGTGCATTAGTGCAGCCATACTTTGACTATGCTGCAGCTTTTTGGTACAGCTGTAGTTCTAAAAAAAATGAAAAATAAATTGCAGACGGCCCAAAATAAGTTGTGTAGAATTGTTATGAAAGTACCCCCACTGACACATTTAAATAATGAACTTTATAGTCAAAGTCATTTTTTAAAAGTTGAGAAAAGGGTAAACATTTTAAAATTAGTGATGGTTTTTAAGATTTTAAAGTAAATGGTCCCATTTTATGTTTTAGTTAGTGTGGTACACAGTCATTCTACAAGAGCGCGTCGCAGGGATATTTACCCATATAGATTTAAGAGTGAATCACATTCTTTTTAAGCATTCTTTTTTGTGTAATAGCTCTGCTGCTAGGAATGTTTTGCCCACGATTTTTTAAAGAGATTCGAATTGAGAGGGTTTTTAGAAGGGAAATTAAAAAGTGGTTGTTTTACAGTTGAAGTTGAGGATTTTGTTGTGCCGAGTTGCTGAGCTGATGATGTTTGCATTCCATTTATGATTTGCTTGTTAATTTTTTTAAAATATTGAGGCCCACAATGGAAATAAGCCTGTGGCTTTTTGTGTATTTTATCCTCGACAGTTTTTTAAAAAAAAATGCATGAATTAGTTTAACTGGACTTGTTTGAATATTTTTGTAAAAATTGTCAAATAAAATCAATCAATCAACTAAAAAAGGATAAAATAAGGTTCAGAAGTCTGATATTACTACAGGTCATAAATTTATAAATATTTCTTTCATTACCGAATATACAATTTGAGTAAACTGAACAATACATTTAAATGTGAGAATTTTGAATAATTAATAACTATAATTAATTAATAGTGTGCTCTACTGGAAAAAAAAATCTGCTGATCTGTACAAAGTATCACATAAACAACTACGTTTACTTGATTAGAAATGGTGCAGAATATTTCTCAAAGCAGCCTCAGACTTTTGACCCCATCATCAGACCTACAATGAGCAATTAAGAAGGCTATATGTATTAAAATAACCCTACCAGAGATGCTCTGCTACTCTCAGTTTATAGGGTTTGGGTGTCTTCTTCCTCTTGTGCAGAAGCTCTGAGTCAATATAGGCTTCACTGAATATGGGTCGTTCCACATGGTACATTAGTGTAGCGGACGGCTCCTCGCTAACAGTTACGTGCTCCATGGCTGCAGTGGAAACACCGGCATGTCAGGCTGTGATGACCTATAAGAATGCGCTCGTGCTCTTGCTTTACTTCCTCTTCCTGTTTTCAAAGAACGCTGGAAAGTTAGCAGTCTGTGAAGAAAGAAAGGAATTCAGAAATCAGAACAAGCAATGCTGACTTTATTCAAGCATGTTTTGTTGATCGGCTATTAGGTAGCAAAACATTTCGTCACACTAATGACTTGAGACCTGCAGTGGTCAAATACTGTGGGTGTATAATTACAAGTCCTCAAAATAATCTTGAATGACAGCCAGTTTTAGTTTGTACAGGCTGCTAGAGAAGAGATTTCTGATACGTCACATCATTGACTTCTGCATCAAAAGCAAGCACACGTAAAATATCATGAATAACGTTAAATAAAATAGCCTTTTAATTTTTTTACTGTCAGTTTTTTAATGCATTATTTTTTTATCCATTCATAGAAACTAAACAATGTTGTTTCCTTAAATAATATGAAATGTAATATGGTTTTTTGATTTAATCTAGTGTGTCTAAAGCACACAACCTGTCCAGGACACAGTGTACAGCTTGAGCAACAAGAAGAGCCCATGCGTGGATCCAGTCCATTTTTAGTACAGTGTAATGCAGATCACAAGACCATAGTAAAATGAAATGCACTGGATATCAGTGGCATTGCTGGTGAAGGCTAAAGTTTACAAAGCAGAGATATAAACATTACAAACTGCACTAGATGACATAAGAGGGTCATTCCATGAAATGTGCCTTATTCCTTCTGAAAAGTGCTATTTAAAGCATTCAATCACAAAGAGAAAATGTTCAAACCATGCTGTCGAACAGATCTACTCTTTTAAATAGTGTACTGTACATACAAAAGTGAAAGTACTAGACATCTGTTGTTCATTTAGCCATTTTGATTGTGTTCAACGTCAAGACCAGTGATGATCAAGAAGTTTAAATGCTGACTATTTTGAAAAAATAAATTAACAGCTAAACAAACAAAAAAAATAAGAAAGAAGATTTTCAGATGCCGACATTCATTCCTAAATATTAGACCAAACAAGACAGTGATTTAAAAAAAATTTTGTTTAGTTTGACTGTAGCACTATTTTGTCCTTGATTTTTATTTTATTACCATTATTTACAGAACGTAAACAATTTATATCATGGCAACAAGTTAATGCACAACTTGGGGACACAGCATTGAATGAATATGAATACTTCAGTAAAGAGTAATTCAGCTAAAATCTTTAATAATAGTAACAATAATAATTATAATAATCATCAGCATTGTACAACATGTTATTTCAGCATTGATATCGCAGTGTGCACATCTGCAATAGTCACATCGCAAGATCTGCGATGCTGAATATGAATTAGGGTTGAGCAGGAGCTGATGTAATTTGTAGAGTCACTGCGAGGTTTAATCATAATAGAGTGAAAGTTTATCATTTGCATGTGTTTTTAAGGCCTGTGACCGAGCATTTCAAGAGACTTTAAAACATTTGTGCACAAAAAAATGATGTTTGGAGGTGTAACAGATTTTTTTGTATTTAATTATCTACATATAATTGATATGATTTACGCAAAATGTTTTTCTTACCTAGAATGTTTGTTGTTTCTAGTCTAAATATCTAAATTTCCACGCAAAAACAAGATTATTTTACTAACCTCATTGGCAGACAATTTAGCTTGTTTTAATGAAAAATGAAACTATATTTTTTACGTGATCTAAGAATTTTCCGTTATTTGGACTAGAAATGAGACAAAGCAAAAGAAACAAAACACATTCTTTGCATTGTGATCATTCAGTTTCTGTGCCTGAATAGGATTAGACTCCCCAGAAAACTATTAAATAGAGGTATTCAAACCATCTTGTAAAACTGTAAGTTATTCACAATATTTATTGCAGAAAAATAAAATATCACAATATCAGATATGTCCAATATCGTGCAGCCCTAATAATAATAATAGTAATAATAATAATAATAATACTGCAATTGTTACTCCTAATATTTATATTATTGTTAACAATAAAGTATTATTATTATTATTACTCTTTATTCTTCAAATCTAATGCACATCTAGAGCAACTGTGCATTGTTTATACGTCCAGCATTGTTTTATAGTGGAACAAGCACAAACAAATAACAAAAACATCTTTTAAAATCATTATTTTTTGTTTGATTTGTGCTGATGCATTAAACGCAGTCCATTTACTCTCAGTTATTGTAGTAACTGTTTGTTTACACTCGTTCACAAGGAAGCAAAAATAAAACACAATGTGCAGTTGCTGTATCTGACAAATCTATAGGTCAACAGAACAGTCATGACATAGACTGCGAGTTTCATCATCGTACGTGCTCTGCTGCCATACTCTTTTCCCTCTCAAGACAGATGAGAAATCAACATTATCTGTTTTCGTTCTGTTCGAAGCTGCAGCTCCGCAAACCTGTTAAGCAGGTAATTTAATTCAACCAAGATGTTTTGTGTTATTACTGTAGTTTAATGGATGAGAAAGAAGCCTAAGCATCTTACCTCTCACCGCCTGCGTCCTGAAAATCAACCAAGGTCGGTGAATTGAGCAAAGAGCGAGAGCATCGACTGTCCTGTTACTGTGTAACATGTGAAAGCCCTTTAACTGCCGACTGCAGCTGCGTCATCTACTACGCCGATAAGACAGCGCTGCGTAAGATAATGCGTCACCTCATAGCCAGAGAGCAATGCAACATGGAACATGTAGTTCTCTTCTTGCATATCAGAAAACAGATAAAGCTACTGAGCAGACCTTTATATGATAACTATATACAGAGAATTTGATCAACGCGTAATTTAAGTTTTCATAAGTAATAAGTAAGCACGAACAATGTATCTTACCCAAAACCAATTTATTTTCCTTGAGTTGAATGCGATTGTATGCACAGTCGCAGATGTGGAGTAAGTGCGCTCTCTTGTGGAACAATCATGAAGTAAATATTGGGTACTATAGAGATAGTTCACTCAAAAAAGAAAACCTGCTCACTATTTACTCACCCTCGAGTGGTTGCAAATCTTAATTTCTTATTCTGTTGAACACTAAAGGAGATATTTCAAAGAATGCTAAAAACCTTTAACCATTCCAGTTGGAAAAAGAAATACAGCGCAAATGATTACAAGTTTTGAGCTTACAACAATATCTATATTATATTTAGCTTAACAGAAGAAAGAAATGCATAAAGGTTTGAAACATGGGCGAGTTAATTACAGAATGTAAATTTTTGAGTGAACTGTCCCTTTAAATGTATATTATGAACTTATATGTTCATTATGATTGTTCTGAAAGCATTTTTGTCTTACAAATAGAAAATGCACACACCCATGTATATTGTATAATAACAAACATATAATAATACAATAATAACACATTTAACAAATAATAAAAGCTGGGGCGAACTAGTGTGTTGTGGGCATGTAATACACTGTCAAAAATTCCTGGTTGCCTTAAATTGTTAAGCTGAATCAATCAATATTATGCTAAACTGACTTAAAACAGCTTGTGTCACTTATAAAATTGCATTAGAACATGATTAACTGAGTTTAGTAAGATATAACGACCTAAAGACTGTCAGGACTAATTGACTATAGAATTTTTACAGTGATTAATAACTGGAACATAATCAAAGTCCCTAGTTTAACAAATAAACAGTTACATTTAAGGGTGTCAGTAAAATATCACTTTTAAATTATTTGAATTGTTTCCCACTGCTGTTAAAATGTGACATACTGTAGATAAGACCCTGTTTTGTGAACCCATGTTATTTTAGGTTGAACTAGCTGCTTATTTCAAGCAACAGAAAAAATATACACATAATAATAAGATTTATGACTTGAATAATTCACTCACGCTAATTCTACATTCAGTTTAGGGCTTCAAACAGGGCTTAAAATTAGAAGTATAAAAGGCTGTTTCTTACCAGTGGAGAGAGTCAAGGTTTAAGTTGAAAAAGCAGCATCCAGCGCACTGTTTGAACAGTTCTGACTCGCTCTGGCACATGAAAATGACAAAACAAACAAAAGCGTGGTACATGCAGAAGCTCTTCAGCGACAGATGACACCACGTCACTCACAGACTGCACATACTGGAGTTGTGAAACACTTTTAAATGCTTGGAAGTGCGAGTCCATTGAATTTATTGGCCAGAAATATGCCAGTGCAATAGCGATTACGTATTGTGCAATCGTTGTGCATGCAGGAATGATGCCATGCCATGAACCTTGTTCTGTCTCATTTCAAGTAGTAAAATCCATTATTCATATACATACATGCTTTTATGGCTGTAAGGGGTGAGTTTTGGTGCGTTGGAAAAGCCTGCACAGAATAAATAAAATTAAATAAAATGAAATGAAATAGAATGAATTAATTTTCCGTAGTGCATGTGTGTGAATGAGTGTGTATGGATGCTTCCCAGTACTGGGATACAGCTGGAAGGTCATCCACTGCGTGAAACATATGCTGGATAAGTTGGCAGTTCATTCCACTGTTGCGACCCCAGATTAATAAAGGGACTAAAAGAAAATGAATGAATGAATGAATGAATGAATGAATGAATGAATGAAGTAATTTTTACTTTAGAGTTTATTAGTTACAACTATATGATAAAAACTTAAATAAAACTGAGTTAAAGCAAACATGCATTACGCCTCATTGGTACACAATTAATAATGGTGGTAACAGTCAACATTTTATGAGTTTGAATATTTGGTTTTGAGTAGAAAATAACCTCTAGTTGTCATAAAACAGCAAGTTATCCACCTAACAACAAAACCAAAGATAAAACACTGTAAATACAATAGAAAATGCAAAAATGACCCAGTCCATGATGGCAAGACCAGTATCAGAAAGTTGAATACATATAGTTTTACTTGACTTTTATTCTACTTTAATCAAGGAACCATTGTGAACTTAAGGTAAAACACATTTTAAGCTTAAGTCTAAATCTTAATTTCTACAGCAGCCTTATATAGAATTAACTGTGAAATTAAAAAAAAGAAAAAAGTATAAAATCAAATAATATAAAAATAAAATTATTTTATTCTTACCTGAACTGAATTACTGAATGTGAAAATTACATATTTTTTCCAAGCGACACAAAAAAAAACAGAAACAGTTTCTGTAAGCATGTATTTTACAGTACTCATAAATGTATCTGTCAGTGTTTCAAACTATTCTTTTTAATTTGCCAAAATAACACAAGTGGCAATTTCACAGCTGTCACATCCATAACAACACTTTCCCCTCATAAATGTGAAAATGTTCAATTAAATAAAACCAATCATTTTTGTTCTATAGAGAGCCAACTCTTATCCTTTTGATTAGCATCGTTTCTTTTGGGTTGTTCAGTTTATTCACAGAAATTCTACAAAGTATGCTGTTTACTGTAATCTTGCAGACTTTTTTTTTGTCACATCCATTACGCATGTTTATTTTCCACATTTAAAGTTCAAAACATGTTCGCAGATTGACATTTTTCTGGTCCCTTAACTCTGTGGTCAATTGTTCTGGAAAATATAAACAGATGTTTCAATATAATGTTAACATATACTTTCTATGCCAATTTGTGTTTTGAGTTTTTACTGCAATTGTCACACTCATAATGCTGGAATTGCTCATATATATAAATTGCAAAATTATTTATTAACATAATTGTAAAAATTTTAATAAAATTACATTTAAAAAAATGTCAAATTATTTTTCACTTCAATATATGACAAATAACTTCAAATTGTTCTGTAGTATTTACTAAACCGCACTGCTTTTATCAGTGCGTTTCTCCAGGAGGTGTCAGCATCTCCATTCAAATTCAACCAGATTACAAACAGGTCCACATGCATAAAAAGAGTGAAAACTGAAAGCTTCTATGAGTTTGTTCAGAAAACTGTCTCCCAGGTGTGATGATAAAGCGGAAAGGAAACGCCCACTGGTGCTTCAGTTGCTCATGCGACGCGTGTTCCATTTCTCGAGTTCAGTGACTGCGCTTATCAGGAAATGCCACATAAAACAACAAGCACCGATTCCGCAAGATGCGCTCCTGACATTTTGCTCAAACATCGAGAGACCTCGAGTTGATTCACCAGGATGGAAATCTAGATAAAGTTAAATGAACGCTAAAGGTCTGGTGCGAGGCATCACACACCTTTAATCATGGGAAACGCAAAAAGAGCAACGCAAAACGACGAGGACTACACTTTCGTCAGTCCAGTAGTCAAATATTTACTGTTCTTCTTCAACATGATATTTTGGGTAAGTGCTGCTCACTTTTACACGCACACACAATGTTATATTATATTATATTATATTATATTATATTATATTATATTATATTATTAACAAAGTTTCTAATTAAAAACGATATATATATATATTTTTTTTTTTTACGATAACTTTACAAATATTTCTTTTATATTTTAAATATTTTTTTCTGAAAATTATAGATGAAATGTATGACATTATTAAATATAAATAAAATAATAAATTCGTGTGTATATGGACTGGGTGTGTACATATAAAATATTTTCTAAACAACATATACACTAAGCATAAATAAATCTTTACACGTTTTATAAATAATTAAAAATGTATATACACAACATAAATAAATTAATTAAATAATTGTATACATTTATGAAGTATGCACATTTGTTTATTTACAGGGATAATATATAAATAAATCCCTATATAATATAATATACCAACTAGATGTAAATAATTATTATTAATATATATATAATATATATATAACTATAAGCAATTTTATAATACATTACCCAGAATATACATAACATTATACACATTATATACAACTAAACTATACAAACTAAACAAATAAAAAAGGCTTTCACATTATTTACACAATTACAAGCCATATATTGAATACAAAAATATAAAATATATTTATAAAAATAACACACACACACACACACACACACACACACACACACACACACACACACACACACAGAAATTCTGCATATGTAGAAGAGCTGGTTTTAACTCACATGATGAAGTTTAATGATTAATGCTTTACCAAATGACTCCCCCTTTTCCACTCACCAACATGAAGCAAGCTTTCCATTTACCAACAGAAGCACTGCACTTAGTTCTCATGGTCAGGGAAGTCATTGTTGTAAAAGCAACTTAAGTAATAAATATTCATATTTCATAAGAAACAGATCAAAGTTCTGGTGTGATTTAGGTATGAACAAACACTAAAAGCATGACCGGTGGGCATGTCTCAACACACACGTGTATCACATCACCAAAGCCAACATTCTCAGAATACTTTGAAAACACAGAACAGCTCATGGCAGTCAGTACAGAAGCCTAACCTGTTTCATCTTGACTTGATGCATTGAGAAACACTTGCCCAAGTAAAATGAGCCTGCTGTATGATAGGATCTTGCTGGAATAATAATGAGTTCATATTAGACCTCATTAACAAAACCCTCTATTGTGAAGTTCTTGATACTGGCAGAATACTTTCCCGAACTTTTTTTTTTAAACTGGTGTCGGTTGCTTAGCAGCGGGTCTCATTGATTCATATGCTGATAGAGCAGTGCAGAGTGTTTGGATGAGTGGAGGCCCCATGCTTCTTTTATTTGTTGCCCTGTACAACTTTACATAATAGACCTAAATGAATAACTCTCTTCAGAAGGAGAACCAGACATGCACCCCAAATATTGAAAAGTTGTTGGCACGGTGGTAGTTTAAATGGACCCAAACAGTTGGTTTATGCTGAAGTCAGTAGATTTAGATATTAGAGTGTAATGCATGCTTGATGGTGCAAGTATGCACATGCAAATACCTTTGGAGATTTCATGCTGAAAGCCTCTAGAACAATTCGCTTTTTAATATAATAATAATGCTGAGCATTTGACTACTGGGTCGCAGTGCAGATCTTTAGACTCCTTTTAGTCAAACAAAGGGTTATAAAACTGTGATTTGGAAACGTATGAAATTTGTGGTTGTTTTAAGACAGGAAATGGTGTGAAGCTGCATCATGCATCAATGGGCTATTTGCACAGTCAGCTAGTGTTTTTCAGACAACTTCCGGTGAAAGCTTTATGTGACTATTTTCAATTTCATAAGGTTCCTTTTTCAGCATCGATGCTGTAATGTAATTCAAATATAATCAGTTAAACATACTTAAGCATCCATTTGGTTGTTGAAGCGTAAAAGGAGACGAAAGATGTCATTAGCAGCAGGCAAGTGCAGAAACTCCATTGAAAAATACTGAGGAGTAAAATTAATTTCCATATTTTAAAGACATGGCGAAGAAAAATAGAATTTAATTCAGTGCTTCTTGTTTGGTCTGATACCCACTTTCTATCGTATCTCAGCCAGGCAGTGAAGATCACTGTTTTTTAAAGAAATCATATTTTAAGCGCAGCGATTTTGTATGGGATGACAATTAGCCGGAAGCCCTCTGGCTGGCTGATTGAAATTAAAAGTCTGTGTGCATCTAGCCCTTTGTTTCTTAGCTTATAGTTTGTATTTAACCAAAAAGCACATACATGGATTGAATGCAAATACAATAAAATGCTTATTTAAAAATGTAAGAATAAAATGCTTATGTTTATTGCAAATGCTAATGTGCTGTTTGATTTTATTATTTGAAATATTTTGTCATTTAAAATCGCCATAAATCTAGTCACATTTTATTGTAAATTTCATGCCGAGATCAGAAAAATACATGTAAAATCAGGTTGATTCAAATTTAAACTTGATATTGTGGCATATGGCATTACAAATTTCAGATATCACAAAAGTGTATGGAAGTACACGAGTAGCAATATACATTTTAAGTGTAATATGCAGAACAATACAATGTGTGAAATGAAAATCTTTATTTCAAGAGTTCACACTTGATGATAATTGATTGTAAGCTTGTTTGGCATGCTGTCCTAGAAGAGAGCCCTGAGCCCTGGGCTTCCTCCCGTTTGTAGGGAGGAGATTGAGTTTAGGTAGATCTCTAGAATTCCCCCGCTTACTTGTGGCTAATGATGAATTGCTTTATGAGGGAGACATACTGTTGGCTAAGAACTTGTCTATGGTCCCAATTTTGGTTAGTCAATTTACTTATGATGTCTTTGGTCGGTGGGAGGAAATCGGGAGAAACCCACACAAGCACAGGGAGAACATGTAAACTCTGCAAACGTGGACTTGCCTAGTAAGGATTAAAACCAGTGATGTTCTTGCTGTGAGGTAACAGTGCTAACCACTGGGCCGCCACAACTAGGAAGAAGGAGGAATCTTCAAGGCAAAGATGACTGCTGGAAAGACTATGGTTATTTATAGTGACTTGGGAAACATCTGATTGTAGAATCATGCGATGATTAATGTGGGTCCAGTCGTGATCAATCATAAGCATGTGATCTTCTCGAAAGTAGTTTAAAAATAAACTTTACTGAAATTTGCATTTATTACATGTGAAACATTTATAAATATAATTAAATTATAAAATTATGTCATTTCTAACCACAGTTTTAAAATGTAAATTACTAATTAAAATGCTTTATAAGGTACAAAATTCAAAAATGTACTACATAAATTAAACTTGATGTGTGTAATGTGCTAGATGAAATGGCAGCAAAACGATCATTTAAACGTTTTTTTGCCCTAAAATTATTTAAACTTGTGGTTAGGAAATGTAGCATTGCTCATCATCATTGCATGTGGGATGTTTGTAGCAAAATGTCATGTGCATTTCAAAATGACAAATGTACAGCTAATACAGTTGAAATCAGAATTATTAGCCCCCCTGAATTTTTAACGCACCTGTTTATTGTTTTCCCCAATTTCTGTTCAACGGAGGGAAGATTGTTTCAGCACATGTTTAATTATAATAGTTTTAAAAACTTATTTCTGATAACTGATTTATTTTATCTTTGTCATGATGACAGTAAATAATATTTTACTAGATATTTTTCTATACAGCTTAAAGTGACATTTAAAGGCTTAACTAGGGTAATTAGGTTAACTAAGCAGGTTAGGGTAATTAGGCAAGTTATTGTATAATGATGGTTTGTTCTGTAGACTATTGAAAAAAATTGCTTAAAAGGGGCTAATAATTTTGTCCCAAAATTGGTTTTAAAAAAATTAAAAACTGCTTTTATTCAAACCGAAATAAAACAAATACTACTTTCTCCGGAAGAAAAAATATTATCAAACATACTGTGAAAATTTCCTTGCTCTGTTAAACATCATTTGGGAAATATTTAAAAAAGTTAAAAAAAATCAAAAAGGGGCTAATAATTCTGACTTCAACTGCATGTATAGAAAAAATACAGAGTTAAACAAATTTGTATTTTTTTATGTACTTTTAGTTCACTAATAGGAGTAGTCTGCTAAAAGCATTTGTTTTCAATGTTTAATTATGTATTATATTGAAATATTCATACATTTTATGACTGTATTTATTTTACTGCAGTGAACTTTAATAGTTTGACCTAACAATTATAGCATTTTCATAGATAACAAATAGCTCCTTCATATACTATTTTCTGGCATTGAAGTGAACAGACACTGCTTTCTCTGGGAAAAAAAAAGTTTTATAGTAACCTGATAGCTCTGTCAGCAAGAGGGGCTACATTGTGTCAGACAAACTGGGACCTTCGGTTGTGTGAGAAACAGAGAGAGCGAACAAACCCTGAAACTTTGCTTCCTTATAGAATTTCCTGTTCACTTTTCTTCTCATGAACATTCACACATGCTGATACAAACTACATAAATTTTCCACTCTCCTACTCTTTTTCTGGCCTTGGTTGGATTTCTTTTTTCAACACGATGTAGAATTAGGCAAACAACAGGCCTCTTACTACTCACACAATAAGAGCTTTTACTACTTACTTCAGTAAAGCCTTTTGCACTTCCTTTATAAAAAGAAAAAAGATGAATGCAGATTTGATCCGGCCACTCCCTAAACCGGAATGACACTGACATTAGAATCATCCTGTCTTTTTGTTACAGATAATCTCACTGGTCCTGATATCTATTGGTGTTTATTCCAGGATAGTTAAACATGGTAAGTGTGTTTACTTGAAACCACACTGCCTGTTTTACACTGATTATGCAATGCATATTTTCCCCAACAAATCTGAATCAGCAAGTGAGCTTTTAAAGGACTCTACTAATATTATATAATGAAACATCTTCATCTAATAAAAATAAGCATGAACATTTGGAAGACTGCTTTACTTTTAGTGGCATACATTAGACATTTTTATATGATAATAATTACTCATACGCACACCTAGTGGTTTTAATGTTGCACCACATTAAATAAATTTTCACTAGTATTGACATTGTAAAGTCAGCCATCAATAATATATTGCATTTCCGAAAATATATAGAGGTTTTCAAAATAAAAAATAGATTTTTGATGGAAAAAATAGTATCTTCTGCTAACCAAGTTTACATTTATTTCATGACAAATATAGTAAAAACTCTAAAATATATTAAGAAATTTAAATAACTCTTTCCTTTTTAGAAATGCTAGATTTAATTTATTCTTCAATAATGTTAGCAGCCTTTACTCCAGTCTCATGATCTTTAAAAAATCATGGCAATATAAATGCTGCTTAGCTGCTCATGCTGCAGTTGTTATTTATATTAATACTAAATATTATATTCTGCAAGGACACATTAAATTGATAAAAACATTAACAAACACATAATATTGCAAAACACTTCTATTCCAACTTCCTAAAATCATGCTAAATGGTTTCCGGGTGTTTCCAATAACTGAACATTAATAAATAAGCATCAAATCAGCATATTAGAAAGACTTCTGAATGATCTAATGGCAAATACTTCCTAAACATTTATTTAAAAATTGTAAAATTAACAATTTATGATGTTAACATTTATAATTCTTAATAAATTAAACCTTTTAATGGATATTATTTAATTTACTTTAGATGTAATTACAGTATTAATTATATTTATCTTAGCTTGCTGTGTGTACATGTACAGTGCTCAGCATGAGTACACCCCTCACAAATCTCTCTTTTAAATTCATATTTTTAATATGAAGCTATATAATATTATATTTGTGCATACACATTAAACTAGTCAGTACTAAAGCCAAATCTGCAGCTTATCTAACAAAATAACCTTAGATAACGGTACAAAAACGAGTACACCCAAATTTATGTTAGAAAAAATATTAAATTCAAATTTAAATAGGAGGAAAAATCAAGAGAAGCGAAATTTTGTAGGTTGTAATTTTTTTTTCAACATTTTGCTTGAATTTAATTGTATTATCTTTCATTTTCTAAATATTTTTGGTGACTAAAATATTATTTGAATAAATATATCTGTTTAATAAATCTGTTTTGTTTAAATGCACCAAAATACATTGCCTATATCCAGTGAGAAATGGATAAAAAAGAGCACTTTAAGTATGCAGAAAGCGGTCTGTTTATGTGGTGGATCTCTGTTTTTCTCTCTGCAGAAACAGCGCTGGCCTGTCTAACTGTGGATCCAGCTCTGATACTGATGGTAGTGGGAATTCTCATGTTCTTCATCACTTTCTGTGGCTGTGTGGGTTCTCTGAGGGAGAACATATGCTTACTGCAGACGGTCAGTAATGAATCTGCTAACTTTCACGAATGTTACATCACACATTTACCAGAATAAATGTGCAATTAAAATGTTTTCAATCAGAAAAGTAGCTTATTTCTACCTGGTATTAAGTGGTTCAAATATGAACAAGGTTTTAAGCAGAATTTAGAGTTGTCCTCATCTTACCAAGTGTAAACAGGGCCTTATTGTCAATCAGATCAAAAGTGGATGATGCTATAGTATGGTACAGTAAAGTATAGCATAGTATATTATTATGTATAGTTTACCCAAAACTCAAAATTATTCATCATTTTCATTTACACCCGCTCTAAACCTGTTTGACTTTCTTTCTTCTGAACACAAAATAAGGTATTTTGAAGAAACCTGTAACACCCATTTTAGTTCAACAGAAGAAACAAACTCATAAAGGTTTTAAACCACTTGAGGGTTAGAATATTTTCATTTTTGGGTGAACTATCCTTAATACAAGTGAAAAAAAAATGTCTCAAACTTTTTCAAACTGTCCACTTTTTGGAGTTAAACCCATTTTACCTGTTTGTTTTAACAATCTTAGCACTCGAAGACCACTTACTCTATATGGACAGACATTCTAAAAATATAAATATTAATTCTGACATAACACACATTATTTGTAAGATTATTATACAAATTGTAGTTCCCATTTACATACTTACATTTATTTACATTTGCTTGCTTTCCTGCTCACTTATTAGTTGCCCAACATGGGTTGTAAAGGTTACAAAAGGTACACATATGAGGGAAGAGTCTCCGAACAGACGTTTGATAAATGTTAATACCAGTAATGCATCTTGAATGATAACTTGTGATCATATTACAATGCATGCTAATACCTGGTAGAAACAGAAAGTGATTTAAAGAGGACTAGCTGAAAAAAACTGTTTACACCTGTATTTAGCATAACACATTTGTGATCGGATTGCAGATGCATCCTAATGCCAGGTTTAAACGAAGCCTTGGTGGAGCTTAAACATAAAACCATATCAAATAAAATACATTAAACACAGAAAATAAAATAAAAAGCCAATCCTAACAGCAAGCTCTCTTCCCTTTGCAGTTCTGCATCTTCTTGACTATCATGTTTCTGCTGCAGCTTCTGGCTGGTGTTCTAGGATTTGTCTTCTCAGATAAGGTAAAAAGCACTATTGAGTTTTATTCCCTCATGTAAATCTTCAATTCTTTAACTTCACCTTAAATGGATAGTTCACCCAAAAAATCGAAAATTCAGACATCATTTACTCACCCTCCAATTATACCAAACCTGACTAAGCATCTCCTATTGAACACAAAAGAAGATACTGTGAAGACCTGGTAGCCATTGACTTCTGTATTTTAATTTTCCTATTATAGTGGTCAATGGCTACCAGGCCCTCAAAATATCTTTCCATAAATGTTTGGAACTACTTGAAGGTTTCTGTAAACTATCTCTTTATTAGATCAGAGTTAAGCATTACATTAGTCCGCTATTAAATCTCTTGGTCTTTGTGGAGACTTGTAGAAGTATTTATACAGTCTGAACAAGCTATAACAAATCCACAAATCACAAACACAGAAATGTTTAGTTTGCAATGAGCGCCCTCTACTGTCTGTCATCAACCGATGTAACGACACTCAACCTTCCTGTACATCGTAAAAAAAAATCCAGTTTCTGTATTTTGTGATTTCTGTTTATTTACAGTTAGAAATTGCATTATGGGACCTTGACCTCAGCTCTATCAACTTTTGAAAGAAAAATGTAATCTCTGCAGTTCAACAAAGTGACGTTTATTGACATTTTAGTAGTTTAATACCAGGTTTTTGTAATGTACTTTACAGCATCAACCCAAACTTCAAACTATTAAATATGTAAATAAAAGGGGAGAAAATGTCCCATAATGCAATTCAAAAGCATAAATATACATGGAAAAGAAAACTTGAATCATAAAATTCTGAAAACTGCAAATTCACAGATATTTTTTACAATGAATATTGACCAGCAACAGATGTAGAACAAGCAGGACAAAGTTTTAAATTTTATGTCATTTATTGCAGGCACGTGGCAAAGTAACGGATATGTTTGATAATGCCATCAAGCATTACAGAGACGATTTAGACCTACAGAACCTTATCGACTATGGACAAAAACAGGTCAGGGTTAATTATATAATTATATATGCTTATAGTGCATCATAAAGTTCTGTATGATTTTACTTTTTTTTTTTGGCTTATGTGATCAGTTTAACTGCTGCGGGGGGATTTCTTTCATGGATTGGTCAAAGAACATGTATTTCAATTGTTCAGACGACAATCCAAGCAGAGAGCGCTGTTCTGTACCCTTCTCCTGTTGTCTGCACGCCAAAGAGGAGGTGAGTGCTGTATGTGTGTGTATATATATATATATATATATATATATATATATATATATATATATATATATATATATATATATATATGTTATATCAAATCTACTCAATATTACACAATTTTATACAACAGTGCTAACAATATTGTTGTATTCAATTATAATATAAAGCATTTTAATAGAGACGATCATAAACATTGTATATTAAAATGTAATAAAATTGATCAATAAACCACTATTATATTCAATATTTATAATAATAATGTTGGAGTTAATTATATGCATTAAACAATCAATAAATCATTATATTATAAATTAATTATTAACATTACTAAATACATCAAAATATATAATAAAAGAGGAGTGTTTTCAATTATTAATTAATCAATATAAAATTATTATTACACATTCAACTGCGACGACGCAGTGGCGCAGTGGGTAGCACGATCCTCGGCTTAGTTGGCGTTTCTGTGTGGAGTTTTATGTTCTCCCTGCGTTCGTGTGGGTTTCCTCCGGGTTCTCCGGTTTCCCCCACAGTCCAAAGACATGTGGTACAGGTGAATTGGTTAGGCTAAATTGTCCGTAGTGTGTGTGTGTGTGTGTGTATGTTTCCCAGAGATAAGTTGCTGCTGGAAGGGCATCCGCTGCGTAAAAACTTGCTGGATAAGTTGACGGTTCATTCCGCTGTGGTGACCCCGGATTAATAAAGGGACTAAGCCGACAAGAAAATTAATGAATAAAAAAACAATCAACTGCATCTTTTGAACTCATTAAAATACTCATTATATATTCAAATATGTATGTATGTATGTATGATTGTATGTATGTATGTAATATTTAATATGTTATATAAAAATTATGCATTATGTGTAGAATACATTCATATTGTTAAAATGATTTCAATTATTATTTTATTTTATATTTAATACATCTTAAAATGTACCATTTACATAATATATTAATTTATTAATGGTTAAAATTATCATTTGACAAGTGCATTCAATATTATAATATGCTTTGTTATATTATAATGAATTACTTAACAATTACAAAACATATTTATGTAGTACGTATTTACAACATTACATAAATTATTAGCACTTTAAATGTCCCTCTCTCCATCTTTTTGTTTTGTCAGACTATAATAAACACCATGTGTGGTCATGGCATGCAGGCGCTGAATTATCTGGCAGCCAGTGCCTTCATCAATACCAACGGCTGCATTGATATACTGGTCAACTGGATCCACAGTAACCTGTTTCTACTGGGAGGCATCGCACTAGGTCTCACCATACCCCAGGTACACCAAAATGCCATACAATTAGGTTAAACATGTACAAGCTAAAAAAAAATATGTCCTAATGCATAACATCAAAATTTTTGGGTGACTAGATTTTGTTATACAAGCTAGAATAAACTTCGAGGTTTTGTTTGATCTGACAACTTTTCTCTCCTTTTTTCTAGCTGGTTGGAATCCTTCTCTCTCAGGTGCTTATTAATCAAATCCAAGATCAAATTAAACTACAGAATTACAACCAACAACATCGCTCAGACCCCTGGAGCTGAAAGAGAAAAGGAAAATCTGGGGGAAAAAAAGGATTTTGAGTGATGTTTTAAGATCATGTTTTTGATATTTTACAAATCTGAATATCTGTATGAATTGTAGCAAGACATGCTGATGATCAATAGGTCAATACATCTATTTTGGGATTGAAAACTGATTTTCAGTCTTGTGGTGTAAACTAGTTTATATGATATTTATTAAATTGCACTGCATATTTTAAAAGCAGACTTTGTATTTGGTCGATATGTCATCTGAGAACAAAAATTATTGTATTATTATTTACCAATATAATGTGTGTAAAACATTCATTTTAATAGGTCAGGTATGCTTCCTATAAATTTTTTTTATTTAACATAATTTTGTAATTCAAGTATTATTGACTATTACTTTAAAAAAATGTATTCAATAAGCACTTTTATAACATTACTAGTTGATCATATTAGTTTTGCTGATGATTTTTTTCAAAATGGGTTCCTACATCAACAACATTTCTGATTATAATCTGAATAAACACTGCAAGCTTGATCTGGCCAGAGAATCAAGTGTTTACTCTCCTCTTCATAATCTGGCAGTATAGTGAGTGTCTTCCTTCTGTTTGGAGAACAGAACGTTCATTCAGTGGATCCCAATGTTTTGTTGTTTGTTGTAAATATAAATAAAATATTTTGAAGATATAAACATTCAGTTTTGATAATATTGTGATTATGTATATTGTGTATCTTTAACTTAAAGTTTCCTTTTAATAGTGTTCTGCATTTACGTTAAAGAAAACGTTATTTTTAACCATTTTAATAATTATTATTACATTATAAAACACAACAATCCACTTTATCAAATGAGTGTAGTTAACTCAAATATTTATTAAAAGTTAATTCTACTCATTTGAAAAGAGTTTTAAACTCAGTGTTGTAGGTAATGAGTTAATTAAACACCTCATTATTTCAACTTAAATGAAGTAAGTCACAGTACTCGTATAGATTAGTTTAACTCAAATGGTTTGTATCAATCGGTTTCCTCAAACGATTTGAGTTGCCTTAACTTATTGGGTTTAACATTACTCAGTTGGTTTGAGTAAAATTGATTTGTGTACTCAAATAGATTAAGTTCACAGTACTCATTTGGATTAGTTTTTTAACTAAAATGGGTTGTTCCAAGCGGTTTCCTCAAATGGTTTGAGTTGCCTTAACCTATTTGGGTTTTACAGTGTAGTAGTAGAAGAATTGTTGTTATTTTGCTGGCTGTTTTGTTTTACAAATTCCCTTTTGTTAGTTTTTGTTTTGTTTTTCTTGATAAATATTCATTTTATTTGTAACAGAAAGGTTTTCATCTTTAGTTTAGTAGCAGGAGAGTAATATTTTATCAAAACATGGATGCTGATGATGATGATAAACTATTATTATTATTTTGTTTTAGTATAACTTTTGTCTTTTTTGTTTTGTATTATTATTATTGACAAATGTGTGTACTACTACAGCAACTACTACTTATAAAAGAAACAATATTGTTACAAATGCTTTTCACAATTAAGCACAAATACACATGTTTGTTTCCCAATTTCATTATCCTCATAGTTGAAATAAAATAACCTGCAGGACACATTCCTTTTCAGGAGCAAAAAGTGTGGCACACGGATGCTTAGTTATATTCATACCAAATTCAGCTTTATTTCTATAGCACTTTTACAATGTAGATTGTGTCAAAGCAGCTTAACATAGAAGTTCTAGTAAATTGAAACTGTGTCAGTCCAGTTTTCAGAGTTGAAGTTCAGTTTAGTTTGGTTTAGATTTCACTGCTGAAAGTCAGAACACTAAAGCGCAAATCCATCGATGCGCAGCTCCACAAGTTATAAAATATAATTTATAATATTTATTTGTATATTTATATATATATATATATATATATATATATATATATATATATATATATATATATATATATATATATATATATATATATATAAAGAGGCGTTTAAGGGTTTTGAGTCTAAAACAAGTTACAAAGACGCATTCATAGACATGGGAGTCAAATGCATACCAGGTGCAGTGCAGTGTACTGAGAACAGCCAAAAACCACTAACTCATGAGGCATTCATCCAAAACTCATCTGCAAATCCAAACAGACACCTTCAGTTTGTTAATGTTGTTTAAAAGCCAATGTGAAAAACTCTGCTGAAATATGAGCCATTTTATACCAACGTACAGGAAAGCAGTGTCTGTGCGTGTATAGAGAGAAAGAAGTTGGGGGTGTGTGGGGGGGCTTTTCTCTCTCTCTCTCTCTCTCTCTCTCTCTCCTCATTGGTGTTTGTGTGTGGTCCTGCTCTGTGCCTCTCTCTCTCTCTCTCATTCTACAGCCGCCATGTTGGATGTGCTTTTTAAGGAGGCCCTGTGCTGGAAACACCAACCACATCCACACCAACAAGTGCTGCTGTTGAAATCTGATACAGCAAACTACAATCAGTTTTTTGGCCACTCTTCAGATTGCTTTTTAGTTTCCATCGCAACAGCCAACTTGGTGCATTGTATTGGGAATGAGATGAAAAGAAAGTGGCATTTGAAATTGGTCATTACTGCAAATCTTTGTAAAAAGTGCAATAAAAGTCAGTACACTAACAATATTTCCTGTTGCTGTCTTTTAGCCTATATTGGAAGGTTCTACACAGATTCATGGTAAAATAGTTTTAATAAAAATTTGTGATATAGTGTTTTTTTGTTATGCATGCTAGTTTTAATGTGACTTGTACATTGCATTCCTCATTAGACTTATTTACACATCATTACAATTGTGTATATAGTGAATTGACAACATCCTGTTCCTCCCTCTTAATGAGGAAAGCCATTACTTTGGCAAATTATAATTTTAAAATCAAACTTGGAATTACAAGACACTATGGGGCATGATTAAAAAACATCATGTTTACGAAATACAGTCATAATTATGATTTAAAAGTTCTACATTAGAAGATAATTGCATTAAATTAAAAATCTATTTAAAATATGTTTTGGTCATAATTTTATTGTATTTTTTTGTTATTTTGAGTTTTTGTCATAAATTATAAATATATATTACGCAATTTTCTTTGTTTTATGCCAATCCAATTTCATATAGATTGTGCCTACATTTTTCATTATGTAGGACTGAAGACAAATATCAACAAAAGGCATGGGGTAAATATGATAAGATCAGACATGGAGCCAAGTATAACTGAAGCATGTAAATATTATGTAGGCTGGCATGGACTGCTTTTCCCCATCATGAGGGGGATGGGAGGGGAGCAGACTTTTTTGTTATTTGTGTGTGTGTGAGTGTGTGCACCCCCTCCGTGTGCATACCAGGACAGGGAAAACCGATTCTTCTGAAAGACATTATGGGATCAGTGGATCCATGGTCTTCATCCGATGAGCAGATGAGTTTTGACAACAATTCTCGCTTTCTGGTTTTACTGTAAACTGGGGGGACGCGGGGACGCGCTCAAGGGGGACGGAGCGCGCAGCCCCGGGATCAAGTTACAGTCCCAGTCCCAGACTTTTCAAGGCAACATTTTTTCCTCCATCCCAAAAGTGGGGGATGGTGAACGCTATTTGGTTTGTTCTAACTTTTCCTGTAAGAAACTGGAACGGAGCAAATCTTGGCGCTGAACTTACAAAAAGAAACTTTTGTTGACAACTTTTTGCGCACCGCAATTGTACGATGAACAGATTTTCAACAGTATGTGCCCGAGAACGGAGGCATAAAAAACTTTGGAATCGGACTAAAAGGTGTTTCTTTTAATAGGAAATTTTGTTTAATCGCGATTCTATGTCGTATCCAAAATTTGTCGTGTTTTGAAAACTCAACGCGCATCGCGCACGAGTGGAGCTCGCAAGTTTATTTGGAAACATTTGATGAAACATCGCTACTTTGTTGCGTCTCCAAGATGTCCTCCAAGCGCCCCTGCTCCATTGTTGGAAGCTTTTGGATGCTTTGGATCTGGACAGCTACCTCTATGGTCGCCAGGGCGGTCATCTTGCACCCAAATGAAACTATCTTTAACGACTTTTGTAAGAAATCTACAACTTGTGAAGTGCTAAAATACAATACGTGCCTAGGCTCGCCTTTGCCGTACACGCACACGTCTCTGATTCTGGCTGAAGACTCAGAAACTCAAGAGGAAGCCTTCGAGAAATTGGCCATGTGGTCTGGTAAGTTAAAATTGTTATATAACACAAATGCAGTTAAATAACTTTTTAATTATGTTCTCATTCAGACTAAGGTTTGTGTTGCATAATAAAATAAAATTGAGCTGAATAAAATAAAATTGAGCTGAAAACACTGAAATTGTTCCTATGCAAAATATTATTTTATTTATTTTTGTGTTTAGATTAAAATTATATAGCCACCCTAAGACAAGTGTTGTTATTAATGTCTTGTGTTAGCACATCAGCGAAAATAAAATCATATGTGCAGAACAATATATTAACTTTTCCTCTCAATGATTTTTGATTTCACATTACACAAATTAAATTACAATAAACTACAGAATGATAGTCTTCCATGACTTTGACATCAGTTATCTGTGCCATCCTGTTCTTAATTTTCACAAGCACCCCATAATGAGCAATCTCTTCATTTCCTTCTCACATTCACACCTTAATCCCAACTTTCCATGCATTGTCTTATAGGCAATTTTCTTTACATATGAAAAAGAAAACCTAACCACATATTTAGATACACAAAGGACGTTGTTAAACTCCTGATTTTATTTTATAAATATTTTGTATACACAAACCATTTAGAATTATGCACTCTGATTTAATAGCATTGATTAGCATCTAATCATCCAGTCTCATCTGCCCAGGGTTGAGAAATGCTCCTCGCTGTTGGGCCGTCATTCAGCCGTTGCTGTGTGCCGTTTACATGCCAAAGTGTGAGAATGGAAAGGTGGAGCTGCCCAGCCAGCACCTGTGCCAAGCTACACGCAATCCATGCAGTATTGTGGAGCGGGAGAGGGGCTGGCCCAACTTCCTAAAGTGTGAAAACAAGGAGCAGTTCCCTAAGGGTTGCCAGGTAAGTCATCCATTTGTGTACACCCTGATATTTGTTCTGCATAGTCTGTTAAGTAACCAAATTGACTTTTTATCTTTTAGAATGAAGTACAGAAGCTCAAATTCAACACTTCAGGCCAATGCGAGGCTCCGTTGGTCAAAACCGACATCCAGGCAAGTTGGTATAAGGATGTGGAAGGCTGTGGGATCCAGTGCGACAACCCTCTGTTCACAGAGGACGAGCACTCAGACATGCATAGCTACATCGCCGTCTTCGGTACCATCACTCTCCTCTGTACCTTCTTCACACTGGTAGGTGAACTGTAATCTCAAGCTGGAATATGTTGTTGGAATACATAAATTCAGCATTGGTCAAACTAGGACTGCATGATATTGGAAAAATCTGACATTGCCATATTTAGTTTTTCTACAATATATATAGAGATATGAATACAGATTAATCAGATGACTTGAATAGATATTTGGAAAGGATCCATTAGTTGGTATAACTCTGTAGTGGAGTGAATCATGTATAAAGTTTAACAAATTTCAAGCATTGATAAATACAATAGACAAAAGAAAAACTAAATAAACACTGCTTTATGATATTCTGGGGAGTCTCTTACAGTATTCAGGTTCAAATACTGAATAGTAAATGTAAAACAACACACTAGTCTTCATTGCATAAATATTAAAAAATTATATCTTTGTTAAACTTACAAATGGTACAACTTCTTGTGCCTGAACGCTTTAAACTTCCTCTAACATTGCTCCAACATCACATTGTTCTATAAAGCAGTCATTTACATTGTTGTTGGGGAAACATTCGCCTGGCTGACTTCCTGGTTTCCAGTATTTTTGACAGAAAGTAGCTGAAGTTTTGGCCTGGAGATTCTAATATTGAACGTTGTTCCTTCTTACAATTTCCAACAGGCCACATTTCTTGCAGACTGGAAGAATTCCAACCGTTACCCCGCTGTGATCCTCTTTTACGTCAACGCCTGTTTCTTCATTGGAAGTATTGGATGGCTCGCTCAATTCATGGATGGAGCCCGCAATGAGATAGTATGCAAAAGCGACAACACTATGCGACTTGGAGAGCCATCGTGAGTAAAAAATCCACCTTTCAAAAAAATTGAATAACAGTAAATTAGAGTTATACATTTTACAGTCAGCAAATTAATTATCATGGACAATACTAACAATATAATCAGTACTTACTCAATTTTTGGGATGCAAAAAACGATTTTCAAGAGGCTTGTTTTTCTTCTAGATCCACCGAGACGCTGTCATGCGTGATTATCTTCGTCATTGTGTATTACTCGCTTATGTCTGGAGTTATTTGGTTCGTTATGCTCACTTATGCCTGGCACACATCATTCAAAGCCCTTGGCACCACCCATCAGCCTCTGTCTGGAAAAACGTCCTATTTCCACTTGGTCACGTGGTCTATTCCTTTTATACTGACCGTTGCTATACTGGCCAATTCACAGGTGAGACAACTCTTACACTTTTGCATCATTTTCATCAGCATATTCACAGTGATTAATTTGACACTATGAAATGTTCCACAGGTGGATGCAGATTCAGTTAGTGGCATTTGCTTTGTCGGCTATAGGTATTATGAATATCGTGCCGGGTTTGTTCTGGCTCCTATTGGGTTTGTCCTTGTTATTGGTGGCTATTTCTTGATACGAGGTGAGAGAGCTATTTTCATTTTGTTTGACAGCTACACATGACATAAAAAGACTCACCTATATGTATTCATCATTTTCCAGGGGTTATGACATTGTTTTCCATTAAAAGCAACCATCCAGGGCTGCTCAGCGAAAAAGCTGCCAGTAAAATCAATGAAACCATGCTAAGGCTTGGTAAGTTTGGGTTTCCTCTATAAACACTTCACACACAAATGAATATTTGCAGAGAATTCTTTGGAGGATAATCACTCTTGCTGCAAATTCTTTGAATTTCAAACTTTTTGGTATTGCCATTTTTTCTTTCTTTATTTATTTATTTTTGGTTTCTCAGGCATATTTGGATTCCTGGCTTTTGGTTTTGTCCTGATTACATTCGGATGTCATTTTTATGACTTCTTCAATCAAGCTGAGTGGGAAAGAAGCTTCAGGGAATATGTTCTGTGAGTCCTTTTCTCTAGCATTCCGCATATTAAAGACAGAATCAAGATCAGTGTGTTACCTAATCCACTATGTTGTGTGTGTGTGTGTGGTTTTTAATACAGATGTGAAGCTAATGTCACCATAGCTCACCAGACCAACAAGCCGATCCCAGAATGTGCCATCAAGAACAGGCCCAGTCTGCTGGTGGGGAAGATCAACCTCTTCTCAATGTTTGGCACAGGCATTGCAATGAGCACCTGGGTTTGGACAAAGGCAACAATCCTCATTTGGAAACGGACCTGGTTCAGGTAGGAAACAAACAGAGACAAAAAAAAAGATATTACAAAACATTTTGTGTACTAAAATGTTTAAAAAGTAGTCTAATGTGAACTCATTTCTCTCAACACAAGAATCATTGGACGAAGCGACGATGAGCCGAAACGCATTAAAAAGAGTAAAATGATTGCCAAGGCATTCTCAAAGCGAAAGGAACTCCAGAAAGATCCTGAGAAAGAGCTGTCCTTTAGCATGCACACAGTTTCCCATGAGGGACCTGTGGGTAAGAACCTCCTCCTACATGCTAAAGATCATTGTTAGGAGTGCACTAGCATATTAAAGCAAAAATTCATGCTGCAAACTTTCAGTCAGTTCAGTTTGAACATATTTTTGCTCCATACATAAAGCAATAAATTGTAACATTTGATTGTTTTAAACATTTTCAGCGGGTATCAACTTTGACCTGAATGAACCGTCGATTGAGATGTCTTCTGCATGGGCCCAACATGTGACCAAGATGGTGGCAAGAAGAGGGGCAATTTTACCGCAGGATATCTCAGTGACACCCACTGGAACACCCAGTAAGCTCTATAGTTCTAACATGACATTCAATAAATATATTAGGAATGGTTAGCACTCAATAGCACTAGCCATAAAAACAAGTTTGAATAAATGAGCGGCAACATACTAGCAGGTAGAGCTTCAGAGCCTATATATTCAGTAATTGCTAAGGTCTAATGATAATTTGAGGGTGTTAACAAGATGGAGCAAACTTTTCTGTATTTATTTGATTTTTTTTGCATAAATTGAGGCCAATAATATGTTTACTATAACTATAATTGCATATTTTCCCCTGTAGTTCCGCCTCCAGAGGAAAGGAACAAACTTTGGATGGTCGAAGCAGAAATTTCTCCTGAAATGATGAAAAGAAAGAAGAAGAAGAAAAAGCGAAGGAAGGAAGTACGGCCAGCGGGTCCTGCAGCAGATGAAGGGAATCCTGCCTACCACCGGAGGGAGTTTGGCCCCAGTGCAGTGCCGCGTCTCCCAAAACTTCCTGGTCACCGGAGTCTGGTGGCTAACCTTTGGGAACAGCAGCGACAGCAGCAGGAGGAACAGGATATGCTACCTGGAGCCTTCCCAGAATTCAGGCCTTCGTGTCCACTTCCTTACCAGGATAGGTACGGTGGGCTGGGATATTTGCGCAATAAACCCTCCAGTCTCCCTCTGGCCAATCCCCTGACGCTAAGAGATAGCATGCAAGGAGATTTAAGTCACTTCCAGCAAAGCTCATGGCAACCTAAAGGGGTTTTCCGGCACCTTGGGCAGGAGGCTTCTATGATGGATGTTGGCAGGACTGCGGTTGTGCCACGGGCAGATGGCAGGAGGGGTGTACAAATACATTCCAGAACCAATCTTATGGATGCTGAGCTATTGGATGCTGACTCAGATTTTTAAGTCTTTGGAGTTACTGGTGCTCATTCTGTGCATAAAAACAAAAGGTGCTGGATACTTACTCCAAACTATCAACTATGAGCAGAAGTGGGTTTGAACTGCTGTGCCGGCTCTGCTTGTGTAAAGGATAATATTTTTTTGCAACCCTCATGATGTTATGAATTTTGAACTGGATTTATGAAACATAAAAAATAAAACATTTGTGTTTTCGATGTAGACATACCGTGCAGTTCTGCACTTTTTTATTGTGGCAACTCATTTGGTTCAGTAGCCAAGTGAGCTAAGATGACACTTTCTTGAATTTTGACCCCTTTCACTGTTTGGAAAAAAGGTTAGGGGTCATTCATTCATAATACGTCTTTGCGCCTAAAAACATGAAATACAAAAAAGCCTCTTTCGCTATGTTACTTTTAAATAAAACAGTCATAATGTTAATTTCCTATTGTAAACATAAGCTTGTAATTCTTGTCCCACCTCAGAGTTCTTCTGATTGGTCCTCTGCTTTGGAGCAGACATTGATGACTGGCGCTGCTTGTAAAAGTTGAAACTCTTTTTCACTTGGCATCTGAAAAATACAGCATTCATGTGTGAAACATGAAAGACGCAAGATCAATGGGCATTTATGTCAGTTTATGGTGTTTACATACACAAACAATGGAAAAAAAGCACATGGAAATGGGTAAATCATGCTGTGTGAATTAGGGCTGCACGATATTGGAAAAATCTAGCATTGCGATATTCTTTTATTCTGCCATATATATATATTGCGATATGAATAGAGTTTCACTAGATGTGTTGAATAACTATTTGGAAAGAATTTATCATTTTTAGATTGATTGGGATGATTCTGTAGAGGAGTGCATTTGCATAAAATATAAGAAACAATCTACAAGCATTGATAAATTAAATAAAGAAAAATATACAAATTATATAAACAGCATTTTATTGTTATTCAAGGAGTCGAACTGTATTCGGGTATACAGTAATTGACTAATCAATTGTAAAATAATACTGCATAGTCTTCTCTTTATAAACAATGAAATAAAATTTATCATAATTTGTCAAAATTTTAAAACCCTCACACAATCACAGGCCTCTTCCTTTCGAAATGATAAATTAAAATCCAGCCTGAACATTGCATAAATTTGTGATGTGGCTTTAATGCATTGCAAGATCAATGCTGAAACAATGTATTGTGCAGCCCTAGTGTGAATGACCCCATAAAGTCTCCTGCCGCTTTATTCCATGAATAATTCCAATCTTGGCTTTAGGGGTTCAGTTCTACAGTACTCAAAAAGAAAGAATTTCATTTCATAATAACTGTTTTCAAACAGGTTTTCCCAACTATCCAATAGTATCTGGATGCAGCCTTTATGATGCAAGCTGAAATCGCATCACTCAGCGATGCAATGTCAGGCACAATGCACTCAATGGAGAGAGTGACGTCACTTTGACAGGTAGGGTTAGGGGTGGGAATGGGATTAGGTGGGCCTAATAAAAAGCATTGGATGCAGCTCAGATTGCACTGCACCAGGTCTGCATCAAGACCCCTCTCGATGGTTGAGCCAATATTGCAGTGTTGGCATATTCAAAATAGCCTATAACATTTAGGAGGTGCTATAACCAAATTTGTCATCTGCCCTGAAATCATGGTGGCCATGAAGTGTACCAATTGTTTTGATACATTGAAGTTACCCAGAGATACAGACTTACGTTCAATTTTGGGATGATATGATAACTTTGCGTCTTTACTAACTTTTGGACAGAGGTAAAAGTAAAAATACTGTCTTTTTAACGTCATCATTTATATGACAATGATTTACAGAAAAATCATTTTCCCTTTTTTGTGTGAATGTGAAAGATTTACATTCATACATAAATAATAATAGTATGATTTTAAAGAACCTGCACTTTGAAACACGTCTTTTCACATTTGTGCTTTCAAAATGCTATTGTCATGTAAATGAATGGCCAAGATGCATAACAGGTTTTCTGCTTTTATTTGAAATCAGTTTTATCTGAGAAAATAGCATCTGATCCTCTTTAAAACAACTTTTCTTCATCTACCATTCATTATTCAAACAGACAAACCGTCCCTTCTAAAATACACGTCATTGGTTGATCCAGTGTCTCTATGTCCAAATAAATACATTGTTTACACTTTTTTTTGAGTAGCCTATGTGAATGGATTATTTCAAGTTGCCCCAACATAATAAGCTGTAATACGCAGAGCATGGTTAACTTGGAACAACTCCAGTTTTTCTTGCATTTTCTTAGAGAGTAAGTAAGGACATAGTGTCTGAAGAAAAAAAAATGAAAACAAAAAAGGAAATCTTTTGTATTACATTTGTTTGAAAACAAAGAATAACATGCTATTTCTTCAGAATAGAGAGTTTATTTGTAACTATTGTTTTGGTGTTTTTTGGAAAAATTGCCTGGTGCAATCACAAACAAGTCCACATTTCTTATTCAAAGAGTAAGAGAAAATAAAGGGCATTGTTTATGTTTTTAAACTGTAGCTCAAATTGCCAGTGGTTATGTACAATAATGTTTCCGTTGACAATTATTTCTGTACAGTGCTATTGCAAAAGCAAAAACTATTTTATATTTTAGATGTTTGTTGTTTTATTTTATTTTTTAAAACTGTACATATTTTAGCTCACATTTGTTTCCTACAGCTTTCACTATGACTTTTGCTTCACACAGATATGTATTTGTTTCCTGGTGTGCATTTTGTTTCATATTTTACACTTTTTTAAATATTTCATTGTGATGTTGCCTAGATAATTGTTAATATAAGTGAAAACATTAACAATAAAGCAGCTGTGCAGCATTTTTACGACAATTTGAAGCTGTTCTTCAAGAATGTATTATTTTAAAAAGTTTTTAATGAAGATGTTTGTGCTCTGTAATTGGTTTTATATACGTTTCTCCCTATCACTGTTGCTGTTATTCCTTCACAAGAGCCACTCTATCAACATATGTTATGTCAGTATTTTCATGTGTTTGTGTGATCTTTGCTGTTCCTCCTAGCTGGAGTTTCATTCTAATGTATATATTTTAATATTGACACACCATTAATGAATAAAAAGTTTAAATAAAATCTAATTAATATTTTTTTTGTATTATATATATATATATTATTTTGCAGAAAAACGTAATCAGCCCACTCTGCATGTGTTATCTGCAAGTTGTATCATTGTTTGTGTGCATTTTAAAGAGTATATAGGCTAAATAATACCTTCTTAGCTATGTTTTTTTTAAATGGCCATATTTTTGGGTAGTTTACACAAATAATAAATACGACTACGCAAAATTGTGCTTGTCAAACCCAAAACCTGAACAAATTCTTATCAGCTAACAATTCGTTAACGTTACATTAACATAGCAAGGGTCGGGAAAGTTGTTATCCTTAAGAATGTGTTGTTAAGTTTGGGTCACAGTTCAGTAAAGTAATTAATAGCATATTACTTACACTTTAGACGCAGAACTGTCAGTCAGTTTGTTGTCCAGTGAGTTTGCTTACAAAATCACGCGAGAAACAAACAAACAACGTCATATATAATTTGGAATAACAAGAACATCTTGTATAAAAACAAATCTATATTCTTCAATAACTGGTTTAAAAATGATATAATTTATGTGTCTCAACTTTTCAACGATAGGGGTTTACTTTGTAACTACTCTGAATTTTTAGTTAAGCACGGAATTCCCGTAAGCCCCAAAGACTTCGCTATTGTTGCTGATGCTATTCCACAAGGTGTTTTTGTGCTTTTTAAAGGACTTTCATTTCCAGTTACGTTTCATTCAGCGGACCTTTGGAAAACATTTATTGGTAAAAACTGCCTTTCTTTATCTAAATCAAAATGCAATAAGAAAATAAGAGCCCTGTTTCAGGAAGATTTTGTTACTGTACCTTATGTAATGTCATATTGGAATGGTTTTGTGAATGATATTTCCTGGAAGAAAGTTTGGACATTACCCCACAAATTTTTTATAACAAACAAAATAAGAGAAGTTACCTTTAAACTGATTCATAGATGCTATCCAGACAAGTGTAATCTTAAAAGACTTAAGAATGATATTAACACCAACTGTTCATTTTGCTTAGTGAATCCTGAGACGTCTGTTCATTTATTTTGGACTTGCCCTCATTCAATGTCATTTTGGTGTGATGTTCTTGATTTTATAAAAGTTTATGTGAAGGCAGATTTTGAATTTACATATAAGAATGTTATCTTTGGTTTCCATGATTGTGAAAAGGAAAATAATACCTATTTCATGAACCTTGTTTTTTTGTTGGCCAAATTTCATATTCACAAGAGCAAGTTTTGCAAGTGTAAACCTTTTTTCCCTAAATTTAAAATTGAAATGAAAATGTATTTTGAGTGTATTGAAGGATCAACCAACTTAAAAGCAATACGAACGAGGACTTTGATTAAGGACTTGGCACTTATCTTGGACTAACTAAAAACCCCTGGATTGTTGCTGTTTGATTCATGACATTTGTTGTTATTGTTTTTCAAGCATTCCTTTAAAAAAAAAAAAAAAAAAAAAAAAAAAAAAAAAAAAACAAACAAACAACGGAAACAGCAAGCGTTTCCGATCCTGAATGAATCGTTTGTTTGAAGGAATCGGTTCAATGACTCAACAGTAAAGGTTTGTCGCCACCTTCTGACGTAACGAAAATAAAACGTGAATTTATAAATTTTTGTCCCAATATAACGACAGTAATCTCAAATAATTTAGTTGCAAAATAAAGATAATTTAATCTTTTAATTCTATAATAAAAAATATGAATTGTGAATGTGTTCTCAAGCTGTTATGATTTTAATCTTGCATTGTTATGTACATAAATGTATTATTGTTTTTAGTAGAAGTAGTAGCAACCCATAGGTTCAGTTGGATTATTACTGGAATAACAAAAAAATAAAACTAAAAAACTAAATATAAGGAGAGCAAGCCATTGGTGGGAAGCGCGCTCCCAGCAGGCGTCGGTGGCGCGCAGGCCGTGGCTACAGATGGGCTGATGGTGGAGGCGCGCGCCTGAAGCAGGAGGATCAGTATGGCTCAAATCAAACCCACGATGTCCGTTGATGTGGAGAGTCGGAGGCGACGGTCCACCGAGAGCTCAGGTCAGTATTATAATCATCTTTACTTGTTAAGAATCTCCAACCGTTTTAATGAGGCTCAAATACTTTATACATCTTATTATGGCTTAATTAGGTAGCCTGGACCTAGTTTCCTCCACTTTCAACCTGGGTTTGTTTGTTTTGGTACCAGTGATTTCCCATATCTGGAATCATGTTTGAGATTTTTAGTGATGAAAAGTGTAAAAGCTGCTAGTAATTTTAGGATCTTTAGATAAATAGAAAAAAAATCGTGTTTATTGTTTAATAGTTGAAATGTGTCACACCTGTAAGGAGAGACAGGTTTCACCTGTTATACCAACAATAGTGTCTAAAGTTGCTGTTTTATTTCTTTAAATACTAAGAATTTGCATGTACAAACATAAGTGATAAGCATGCTAAATGTTTTATTTTTCATTTAAATCTGCCACAAAGTTTAAGACAATTATTTAATCAGATTATTTCTCACAAATGAAAAAAATGATCTAAATTATTTATTAAAAAGTATTTTTAGTTTCTATTTTATTTACTTATTCATAACTGTGCCTGCTGATTAGTTCTATTTAT